TTTTCGCTAGTAAAAGATTATAAGAAAGTCTAATTTTACTGAACTATTATATTCGAATGTTTAGCGTGTCATAAAAATAATAGACTTTTTGAGTGTCCATGTCAAGTGAAATTAGACTTGAAAAATAATTTTTCAGTCATCTTGCGCTAACATTCTTAAATCTTATCCGAAAAATATTTTGAACAACCACTAGATGCGTACGTAATATTTAAATGAACCTTAAGTGAACCTTTATGTATCAACCTTTATGAACCTCAAATAAACCTTTATGTATCATTGTATCGGTCTCCAAAATATTAAAAAAAAAATACCATGACTAATTCGAATGCGGTAATCTACTCAAAATTACAAATTAGTATTATAAGTAATAGAGCTTTGTCAATTCGACGAAATTGCTAATTACGGAGTCATTTAGAAATAAGCCTGTTTCACTAGTCGGTAATCTAAATTTAAACTTGTTTCGTGTCAGTTCAGGCGTAACTGACAGTAAACTAACTCTGTTTGCGAACTGTACTTTCATTGTATGTCTTTTATGTTTTCGCATTTTAACTTTAAACGCTAAAAACTTATTTAACGATAAAGTTTTATATCGTTGTATTTTGGGATTACCAGCCTCCCGTATACTTGTAGATTATTATCTTGTATTCGTCCTGTCTTAGAATTGTTTCAAAACTAATAATTCCCCGAAATAATGTAACCGAATTCTAATTTAAAAAAGGATTTGAGTTTTCATATAAGCCGAAATTTTATTTTATTGCATAATTTGCGAAATATGAGGGTTTTTTTTTTTTTAAATAGTAATTTAAAATCAAATAGTATTAAATTAAATTCCAACATAAAATGTTAAACTCTATCTGCGTTAACCAGTTTGTCTTTCAAACTCTTTCTGTATTAATTTCGCCTCTTGAGAAGCTAACGATTAGGTACAATTTTATCACTTAAAAATTTATGGTTTAAGATTATTTTTTTGCTATAGTCAATACAAATATAATTGGATTTACCCTTATTGGTACAATGAAAAATTATTTTAAAAAAAATAATTCAGATTCAAATATCCTTATGAACAATTTTATGACCTGCGGATTTTGTCCGGTAACCAAAATGGGAATAAATACTGTTAAAATATCCTACAGCATGGAAATTTTTTTTATAAATTTATCAATTTTATGTAATAAGAACTGACAAAAAGTGAAACAGAAAATGTCAGGGAAAGATTCTGCCTATGTATAGCTTCCTCTTAAGGCAGTGCTGCCCATTTTTTTTGGGAACCATTTCCAACTTTTTCAGTATTCAAAAAAATATATATATTAAAATGTTATTGTTTAATGGCGTTCGAATTTATTTTTTTTTGTGTGTGTAATTTTAAAAATATATATAAAATAAAAGTACGTACTTAGGTTTTGTAGTTTATAATCATTTTTAAATGTTATTATTTATCCAAAAAAAACTGAATTTTTAAAATTATTAAGCTGCCAGTACTCTGAAATTCTATTTTAACGCAGTAAATTCAAACCTTTTATCAATCATTGTCCTTTTGAAATATTGATTATTGTAATGAGTAATATTAATGAATTTAATTCGACAAATTTATTTTTATTATTATTATTTTTTTTAATTTTAGATTGAACTCAAATTTTTTGACCTTGACAGTGATCATAAGGATGTTCAGGCTCTTATCTTATTGACAGAGAATCTTCCTTTATTTGTTTTGTTAAACCCCCCCGTTAGCGATGATCGCAGGACAAATTCTTTCTTATAAATCTCTTTTTTTCGATATATAGTTCTAAAAATAAGTTATAGCCTCCATTTTTTTTCTTTGCTTTTTTTAAAGAAATTTAGTCTCAATTAAACAACCACCGATTATTTTTTCTGATGAAAGTGCATGCGTTTTTGCAGAAATAAAAAAAAAAAAGTGTAACATTTCTAGTGTGCGGTCATCGTACCTGTTGAGAGGGGGAAAGTGGAAGTGAAAGTGTTGAATGCATCATTACCCAAGAAAAGCTTCAATAATAAAAAGAGAATAAAGTAGGTTAGTGAGTGAGGATAATGACCTGCTTTTACACTTCTTGTCCCCTCTACGTAACGTTTCTTTTCCTCCTTGTTCCACTTTCTGGAGCTGCTGCTTCTGAACAATAGGCGGCAAGAATTATGCTAAACTTCTTGGAATTACTTTTGCTTTCTAAACGAAAATTGACTTACAGCAAGATTACCCCGGGGCAGAATCGCAGCGACATAGTCGCAGAACGTTACAGAATTCTTGCAGAAAGATTTTTCTTTTAAAAAGATTTTTTTTTAAAATTACAGAAATTGACACGCAATATTTGTAGATAATCACTTTTTGACGTGATCAATTTACGACGATAGAATCGTTAATCGATGAAACGATTGTATTTTCCGCAGTTATTGATATTGATTTTCGCGTGGATTTTAAATATCACGATATATTTCAAACAATATGGAAAAACCGAATCGTGCGTTTGAGTATTTACTTTTTAAGGCAATAATTCTATCGAATTTTTGGCAGTTATTGCTGTTAATTTCTCCATAGTTTTTAAATTCGATAATTTTTATGTGATACTACATTATTACAACAACAACGTAATCTCGAAAGGAAACACGCATTTGAGGAGATTACGTCGTCTATCTTTTTTTCAGCAATTACTACCACAGATTTGATGATTTTTAATTGTATTTTTTATTCTGATAATTATTTACAAAATGCAAAGAAAGAAATAATTTGTGTGTGCCCCCCCCCCTCACTCAAAATGCGAGAATATCACCCATAATATTAGAAGAAGAAAAATTATTACATGTTTTATTAAAAAAATATATATCGTTTTTTTATTTTTTATTTTATTTAACACAGCTTCTTTTTTATTTTAAATGTGTAGCATATAAGTTTGTTATTATTTAAAGTATCTTGCAGAAAGATATTAGTGATAGAGTTTTGTCGCAGATAGCTTGAAAAAATTCTGCCCTGCATTTTTAAAACTTAAGATGCATAAATATGTTGCATATAGAGAAAGTTATAATTGACAAATCAATTATTTAATTAAATAATTGACAAATCATGACATTCCATGATTTTATTCTTAAAGCATAATGTATGTTCTGATAGTTTCCTGAAGCAGAAAGAATTCTAAACAAAGAACCATTTATCTACATCCACTTCTCAGCAGAACAATTTATGTCTGTTGATGAACATTTTATATATTGTTAATAATTTTTATTTCATTCATTTATTTTTTGATCGATAATTTAGCTATCAAAATGAATTGACTAGTGATGGCTGTTTATTTATAAAGATACCTGTAGAAAATTAGTAATTATCAAAAATCTTGTGGTAGAACTGTTTTTTCTTATTTTTTTAAATTTTTTATTTTATTTTGTCAAACAGTTCAGCGTTACTTGAATAATACTCTTTAATTTTCCCTAATATGTTGATAAACAATATGACTTAAATATTGTAACTTAAATATTGTAACTTAAATATTGTAACTTAAATATTGTAACTTAAATAATCAAAAATAATTTTGCTATTGTAAAGTTTTGGACTTGAAATCGTATCCAAATTTAAAAATCCATTAAAAGTCATTGTCTATTGTTAAATTCGGTCATATAGAAGAAAGTTAGAGAGAAATAGATTTTTCATTAAAAAAATTAAGATCTGTTAGAATAAATGTCGAACAATGTTTGAATGTTTAAAATAATGTTTGAATTTCAACTTCCCGTAAAATTTACCGAGGGACCTCCTTGTCGTTTCATTTTTTAAAAAATCTCGCTATAATATGGCGTAAGCGACGGGTTAGGCTTATTATATCACACTATCTGACCAAGTATGTGCTACCTATTAGTATATTCCGGAATTAACCAGATATTTACCATTTCTTAGGGGAATACGAAAACAAAATTTTAAGAGGCGGGAAAGTAAGAAAATATTTTAAAAATTGTCACTTCAAATAAAAATCATTCATGACTGGTAAATTTTTATATATTTTCCCCCATATATTAAAAAAAAAATTTGCTATTGTAAAATTTTGGACTTAAAAATGTATCTAAATTTAAAAATCCATGAAAAGAAATACAAATTTAATTCTCAGTAGTTTTTGTTCTATCTTAAGAAAAAGAGTTGAATTTAGTGAATCCTTCTTATATGATCTTAATTCATTATATATGTCTTATAATGTCTAGAATCTTCTTTCTAAAGCAAGTTGCATAATGGTCAATGCCGTTACAGTACAGTAGGCCTCTTGAATCTAGGATAAAAATGAAATAGCTGGAGCATGGAAAATTTAGAGCTCCAGCTCCAGGGAAAACATAGCTCCAGAAGATTTTGAGATCTAAATTTTTGTTGATGTCATAAGTTACATTCTTTTTTTTTTTTTTTTTTTTTTTTTTTTTTTTTTTTTTTTTGATTAAGTAGAATTTATCACCAGTTTAAGTTTTGACTGCTTTTTGATTTCGACTAGCATCCTCAAAACTTAAATGAAAAACATAAATATATTTTTTAAAAAACCAATGCTTTTCGAAGAGGAAACATTTCTATTTATCTATCACTTGATATATAAAAGCAAAACTACTAGCAGCAAAACTACTTGGGCCTTTATTGGGCCAATATTCATGAATCTTGGCTCAATAAGTTTGCAAAGGGCGGTTATTTTTCCAATATTGGCCCTATATAGAATTTCCTGATTCACTCGATATTTTACAACCAATATCGGTCTTATATAGAATTATCTGATTCTCCAGATATTTTATATCCATTAGCCAATATGAATTCCATGTTGGCCAATGTAGTTCCTATATGGGCTATTCTTGGACCAATATTGGTTGCACTCTCATATTTAACTATTTCCTACTGTTTTTTGTTTTGAGTGTGGCAAAACTAAAACTTCCCTTTTTAGTCCTTGTTGAAAATGTTTTTTGTATTTAATAAGTATGCAATTTTACTTATTATATGATTCTGTATGCAAGGTGCTAAAAGTTGTTCTTTACTGCAGGTTACATCAACAGCCTAAGCAGCGAAAGTAAAGAAACAGCCGTTCATCAGTTACTCTCACACTTACCATTACTTCAACCTGGAAACGACGATGCCAAAACACAGTACCTTGGACTCATTCCTAAAATCTTGGCTCATTCGATTCGTCACAGTGTTCATATTGAAGAGAGCCGTCAACTTCTTTCCTATTCTCTTATTCATCCGGCCATAAACAACGAAGACCGCTGTACTTTGACGCAGTGGCTGAGACAGCTCGAGGACAGGATACACAATTGTCCCCCTCCGGTATCTCCTTACATCGGCAGTAATGGACCTTTGCCACCCACGCCTCCCACTACAGAGAGTTTTGGGGGTTGCCAATTTAATACGGTTGTACCGCGTTTGGACTTGTGGAGGCCTGGCACACTGGTGGGCATGGCTTCTCCTCCTGTTGAAATGAACTCTTTTCCTGTTCTTAATAATCTAGGAAGTAACAGTTTACCTCCAGGCATAGGAAGTCAGCATATGGCTCTACATAGCATGAATTCTGCGCCTGCTGGTGGTATGTCTTCTCATCCAGGTTAGTTCATTTCATTTATGGTATGAAAAAGTTGCATACAATTGTTTTAAATAACTTCCTAGTGGATTGGTGCCTGACAAAATAAATATTTTTAGAAAAAAGTATTCAAAACAGCCCTTTTCTAAAATTTCGATAAAAAAATTTGAAAGTTGCCATGCATATCTTAAATAACAATTATTATGAATATGTTCCTTAATCCATGTTCAGGTGTCTGTCCAGGCTAAATTTACTACCCTTTAGCAGTACCTTCACACATTCAGCTTTAGGAAAAACGGTAGTTTCACAAAATACTTCTTCTTAAAATTTTATTCTTATATACTGTAAGAAACGATAAATCCATATTTTTACCAGATTTTTGTGTTTAGTTTTCACAAATTATGTCTACATTTTTACAACATAGGTACCTCTCAGAAAAACCTAGGCAGATCCCTGACGTTGTAAGAAGAAAATTAAATAGCCTCAATGACTTTTCATAGCCGAGCTATATATATGCAAACTGTCTTTTGTATTTCATTTTACAGAACATCAAACAGTAATAAAGATTTCTACAGAATCCATTGAATAATGGTGGCAGGGTTCCTACGGGTCAGGGAGAACAGGGAATTTTAATTCCAAAAATCAGTGCATAGTCAGAGAAAGTTGCAATTTTTTACAAAAACCTGGAATATTCCGATATCATGCCTGGAAAATAACTAGTCTTAAAATTGTCAGTAACAGTAATCAATTATTGAGATTAGGGTTAAATAATTCTAACATCTATTATAATTATTTGTTATAAAAAATTTCACATTTTAGTCAAACTGAAATATTCCCAGCCTCATTAAATAATGTTTACATCCCCAGAAAAATCTAATATTTCGCATTACAAATAAAAGAATCAAAGTTTTCTGGTAAAAATATGATCTCAATTTTCATGGAAATTTACCCAGTATACCTGGTAAAGTCAGGAATTTTTTTCTGTAATTGAGTGGGAAAAACGTATTACATACTGTTTTGCTATGTTAGAAACTTGTTTAATTGTGAAATTTTGTTTATTTCAGATGGTACACAAACGCTTCCTATGCCACATTCGCGCATCAAACGAAGCACAAGCCTCACCCCTCCTATACCTCATAATGGTCTCTCCATATCTTCTAGTGTTCTGGAACATCAGAATTTTGATGTAGATCATGCTCCATTATCTCCACAAAGCAGCGTCACATCCTCTGGTAGTGGCAGTGAAAGTCAAAAAGATGACAACAAAGATGTCTTTAATCAGGATGGTACTGGAATGAAAGGTAAATATTTCTTCTTGTTTTTTTTTTTGCAATAGTTTCTAGCATCTTCATTTTCTGCATTTCTTTTCGTCCATAATTACAGATCTACTTTTGAGTTTTAGGCACAGTCTCTTTTTAACTATCAAACTTTAATTGTAGACAAAGTTTAGTTCATGTAAATCTAGTCCAAGCATTGAAATTTTATAAAACGTGCTTTAACCCTTTGCAGTCGTTTTAAGTTAGTTACATGGGTATTGTGATGGTCGGAATTGATTTTTGTTGAAAGAATACATAATATGCAAGATAATGAAGGAAAAATAAAATTCATTAATTCTTTTTTAAACTTTAGATATATGGAACATAATAAGTTTTAATTTTACGTAAAAATTATATTTTATAGTTCTCGATTGTGTGGTTATCTTTCAAAGCAGCCACTAATATGAAGCTCTGGTTTTCGAGAGCATAAGTCGCAAAAATAATTAGTTTGCCGTCTTCTGTTTGAACATACAGAACAATTTTATAGCTCTGCAATATATGTAGTTTGCCACTAAGCCTTTCCCCTTCATCAGAGGAGGATGGTCTTCCTGATTTTGAAGATGCTCCATCGCAAAAATCACCATATTGCGACTGGACAAACATAAAATGTGACATGGGCGTCTTGTTTTCTCTTCTAGCTGACTCCTTCTATAAGATGTAGCTATTGATCATCATTTTCTTCTAATTCACTATCACTGAAATTTTTTAATTGTGTAACTCGTCGCTTCACTGGAACTTAGTCACTATTATATATATTTTCAAAACAACCATTATCACTTTCTGTATCAAAGTCAGTTCCTGTATCAAGAGTTGGAAGTAAAATTCGTCATCGCTACTTTCAATTTCACGGTACACTTGGTAAATTTCTTTTTGCCGATTTATTAGAGTATTAAACTAAAATGCCTAGTTACACTTAAACACAATTTATGTAATATATTATTTCAAATTCTATGGTTCTTTGCTGTGGTGGCTGAAAGCATAAGACTTTAACGGTAAAAAAAAGCGTTGGAGGCGGAGAGTAAACATACGACCACAAAGGATTAATTACATATTAAGAAAAAAAGTTACATATGAAAAATAATATAAAAAATGCATATATGCACCATGGGCCGATTCAATAGGCCAACTATTTAGTTTAACCCTAGTTTTTGGTCTAATTTGTAAATAAGTTTCAAGTTAAAAAACTAGCATAGTTAAAAATTTCTCAACACTGTGTTTACTCCAATTGAATTGCTAATATTTTATAGATGTTTTAAGAATAATAGTGAAAAATATACATCATGATAAAAAAATATTTATTGAATGGTGTGTTTACATGCCTTTCAGTGTCTGTCTTTTAAGGAATTAAATATTTTATTTCTAAAATAGTCTGTTTCTTTAAGAGCATTCCAGTTTAAAAATTTTGACTGAAAATGACAGCTTTGAGGCTATGTTTCCATTTATGCTACCTGAAATATTATCTTCTGCAATTGCAACTTATATGTTCCCCTAATGTGATATTTTTTATTTCTTTGCAGATGTTCCTTGCTGGCTTAAGGGACTAAGATTACACAAGTATTCCTATATTTTTAAAAATATGACTTATGAGGAAATGATGTCGATATCAGAAGAAAAACTTGAAAAAATGGTATGATTAGATTAAATACTAAATAATATTATAACTGTTTTTACATGTTGGTTTAAATTTGTTAAATTCTATGTAGATCTTTATGAACCAAAACTTGATATGTTGAATTCTCTTTAAACATTATATGGATCATTTCATATATCATGAAACTTACTACATGTCTTGTTAAATAGAATGAAAAACTTTCTGAAAGTATTGACTAACTCTTATAACTACTAGTTTGTTAAAAAAAAGTTGATAATGAGTTTGGACTTGCGAATCGTATGCGCTTATGTACTAGCTGGATTCAGTGGGATTTTGGATTCTTGCACTCTCACGTTCAACTCTGCTGTATTTTGCAAGAGATTCTCAAATTTAGGCTTCATTTTTCGCCTTCTGAAATCAAATTGAAAAATCTCTCGAATTTTTGCTGATAACAGGGACTAACTAAACATTGCCAAATTTTCATAGCAAACGAAAATTTTATTTCTCTTGTTAATTTCAACGGTGGTGAAGCATCTTTGTTAATGGCAATGACCTTCTTGCTCTATTCTGTTTATAGATCAGTACCATACTCTTTCAATTTGACTTGCGGACCATTCACTAAGTTCATATTTTCTTATAGGTCCTCAGAGCAGTTAAGAATCACTAAGCTCATCACCTCAAAATTTCCATCTCTTTTATTCAGTTAATAAAGATAAAAATTTTTAAGAGTCAAATTTTTTATCAGAGGGACCCTCCACTAATTGCATAATTTTTTAAATCTTTTATTGTACTTAAATTTTTTTTTTTACTTATTACTTTTTATCATTGTATTATTACTTTTAAAATTGTCAGTGCTCTTAATTTGTTTTTGAAACGAACTTAAAAATATTTAGAGGAAAGATTATGAAGTGATAAGGAGCTTTCAAAGTTTTAAAAGCAGCAAAAGATCTTATGTTATTCATATTTTTCATTCCAAAATACTTTAATTCATCTTTTAATGATTTGATATAAAAACAATTGAAACAAAAAAATTTACTTAAGCTATTATAAATAACATTTATTTAAATTTAAAAAATACTCTAACCTTTTTAAATAATAGTTACATTAATTGTAATTTTAAATTAAAACTTTTTACAGAGTTAATTTGAAAAATAGTATGAGCCATTCAATATTGAATATATTTAAAATTTTGTTAATTGTTTTTATGGTGTTATGGCTAATATTATCTAGAAAAAGAGTTCTTTGTAAAAACTAGTTATTTTATCATAATCATGTAAAGTCTTTTAGGAAGATAATATTTTTATTAGTGTGCACATCCTAATTATAATATTTTTTTTACAGTGCTTAAAAGGTGCTTATTTTTTGTTGAATAATTTAGCTACGCCCCCCTGATGGTGTGAATATGAAACATCAAACACTACGTTTGATATAAAAATCTTGAAAATACCAAACACGATGCACAATCTTAAATTGCTTGAATAGGAATTCTGATGTGTGATTTTAAATTGTTTGAATATAGTTTTAAATCACGCTTGCATTGGTAGAAACAAGCATCAAAACTAATCTTTTTCTCTGTAATTCAAAGGAGATTAACTTTCTGTGACGATCAGATAAAAATTTTATTGTTAATTATTTTTTTAATTGATAGTAATAAAATTTCTGCGAATTGTGTTTGCGTATTATCCAGATCTGCCTACTAAACATGACAGGTATATATCTGGTATAGATCAAACTGCACACTTATTTAGACATTTTGAGACAAATATGTAATGAGGCCTACTTTAAAATAAATTTAAGTAAAAATAGTATTAAACGCAAAGGTATGCTCTTTAATTTACTAAAAATTTATTTATCAAGAGTATTCAAACCTGCACATTTACAGGGTATCAGCGAACCTGGAAAGTCATGAAAAATCATGGAAAGTCATGAATTTAGGTTGCCGAAAAATCTAATTATTAAACTGGAATTTACCCATCCCCCAATTTCTTGGTGTTCTGAATATCTGAATTTGTAACAAACTCCCCACTCACAGTCATATTTTATCAAAATATAACATGTTTTTATCAAGTTCTTTAAAAATTGCATTTTTTCAAAAAATAACTTATTTAAATAATAATTTAATAACTTAAATAAATTTTTATTATTTATTTTTTTATTTTATAAATTTAAAATTCTAGCTGAAGCAAGCCAGTGCTTGGCGAATTATTTTTATTCCGAAATGAGAACAGAAAAGTATTTCTTTCCTTTCCCTTGAACAAGAAAAGTATCTTTAGAATATAATTCTGCAGAAAAAAGAAAAAAATTACTTTTGAGCTATTTTATTGCTTCAAATCTTTATTTTCTCCGTTTTTTAAATTAAAAATCAATAAATATGAAGGTGCAGAACAGTTTTGGTTACACTATAATTTCAATTATTGTTATTATGATGCTTTTTTAAATTTGCTATTGTGTTTTTGTCAGAGAAAATAGTAACTTCGTAAAGTCGTGAAAAATTCTTAAAATTAGTCATGGAAAGCCATGAATTTGAAAATCTGAAATGTAGCAGATACCCTACATTTATCCATTTTAGTTAGCTTTAGATGTTGTAAATTCAATGCAGTTTATGAATTATTCAGTTTTTTAGAATTGCTTTATATAGATCTGCATTTAAAAATGTTTAACTGTTAGTTATAAAAGTTCTGCTCTAAATCTTTAAAGCAGTTACAAAAAAATTTGGAGACTATTGTAAATGTTATTAATCAACCTATTAAGAACTGAATGATATAAGCTGTAATTAAAAAAGTATTATTTAATTATTGTCTATTATTAAATAAAACTTTACTTTTGATTTTCAGAGTATCACTAAAGGAGCTAGACATAAAATTGTGCTAAGTATTCACAAGCTAAAAGAAAGACAGTCAAACCTAAGAAGTTTAGAAAAGGTATATTTTGTTATAAAATCTGACTTTTTTTCCCCCTTTACAAAAGAGGTTCAAAAAGCAGCAATGAAGCAGAATTTAAACAAAAATGTTTTATTGTATAATATTTTTAAAGTTCCTCAATTCATTCTCTTAATCTCCCGTGTGAAAAAAACTAATTTGGTTATCCTTTAGATTAAGTTAGATTTTATAAATTTTGTAAGTTGGATTTCATAAATTTTGTATGAGGAAAAACTTTTTAGTATTCTTTTTAAAGAAATACATTGAAACCTCCCTTGCACATGACTGTGTGGCAGGTGGCTGCTATTAGGAATTATAAATAAAGTGGTTATTCTAACTGTTCATAAAATCACAAATGATAAAAAGCCTTTTTATATTTTATTTTCCACATAGCCATCTAGTGCAACTATTTACTACTATCCTCTATAACTTTGATTTTATCTTTAAATGTAAGGATATTTCATTTGTGATTATCACTCATAGTTCATATATTCATTTACTAAAGATCGTATTCGGATATTCACTCTTCTAGTGTCTAGAGAGTTAAGAAAAATGGTTAAACAAATATTGGTTAAGCGCATGCACACATTGCGTTTTTTGCGCAAGTGCTGGCAATTAAAAGTTGACCAATGATGTACCAAGAATTACCACTCAAGGGGTAGATAATTCTTGCAGAACATCCCTGAAAGATGCAACTTATCTGTAGTAGGTAGAATTGAACTGTTGAAACTATAATTGACTTCTGTATGAATGTTTAAAAATTTTCTGTATGAATGTTTAAAAATTTCTATTGAACAAGATTTCATCGATTCCTGCTGACCACCTTTGAAAGATGCAGGTTGATCAGTGTAATTGAGCTGTCAAATCTCTGATTAATTATTGTATTGCATGAATGATTAAAAACTGTTCTTTTAATGTGGTTTCAGATGGGGTAAATTATGTTTTAAATTTCAGTCTGTAAAATTTGTTGCAAACAAGAACCGGTAGGGCATAACCTTAGGTTTCTAGACTGAACATTAAAAGGCCATTAAGTACATAACTCGATAGCAAATTAGAAAATGTCAGGAGTCATTCAGGAAATAGATAAGTCCTTTAAAGCACCTGAAAGGGGAACATCTCTGCCTTACTTGAGCTTCGCATGTGGATTTTAAAATTTATGAACATAGAGATATAAATGTAATATTGTGACTAGGCACCAAATGGCGTGATGGTCTTTTTTTTTTTTATCTTATGAGATTCTTTCATTAATAAACTGTATAAAAATTCTTTTGTATGCAACTTTGATGTTTCAAAAATGATCTAATAACTGCTGAAAATATGTGAATTTCACTCCCATTTTATGCTTGAAGTAACCTCCTTCTGCGATGCACTTCTACACTTAGCTTTAAAAGTTTCAGAAACAACTTATAGGTTATCCTTTCAGAATGTTCTTCAATTCTGGTATTTTTGGAATACTTAAGCCTTGTTCCTCATGTAGAAGTTAAGATTTCTGAAACAAAATGCTTATAGAGATTTCTACAAAATATGACAAATTTTATCACCATAACCTCAGAACCCGGTAATTTGCCAAAGGGACAGGCTTTAAGAACAACTAAGTCATTAAGACTCAAAATTAAAGTTAAGGATAATCTTAAATGAGGACTTCAAAGTTATAAGTAATTTTACATCCAAATACTGAAGTACATGCTGAAAGGTTACCTTGAAACATACTAATGGTCTGCAATTCATGTAATATTTTTGAGTCCTTCCATCAATAATTATTAGATCAAAACTTTTGATATTGTCGCATCTCGTAAAACAAGAATGTAAAAATTGCTTGTGTGCATTCATTTAGTTTATATGGTTTATTCAATGTTGTAGGATCTTGAAGAAGGTGAAGGTACAATACGGTGTGCTCTGAACGAAGTTAAAGGCATGCTGCAAACACCCATCAAAGCTTTTCAGAGTATGAGTTATAACGGTGATATTATCTGCTCTAATGGAGGTGAATCTGAATCATCAGGCTCCGATCCACCGAGTGCTCCACCTAGTCCGCCCATTTGTGAAGAAGGCCAGCAACATATTGCGGAAGGAGATATACCTGGTCAAATAACACACCTTTTGGGGAAAGGTGAGCTTTCTTTACTGTTAAAATTGCAGTGATAGAATTCATCTTGAATTGTAGCAGGGAGAACTGGGAATCTTATTTTAACTTTAAAAATTAGGGAATCGTCAGGGTAAGTTGCAATTTTTTACAAGAGAATGGGGAAATTCCTGTATTATACCTGGAAAGTAACCAGTTTTAGATTTGTCTGCATCAGTAGTCAGTTATTGAGATTAGGGTTAAATAATTCTAACATCTATTCGCAATTATTTTATAGAATTTCACTTTTTAGTGAAACTTTTCCATGTTTACATTCTCATACTATTATGTTTTTGCTCACAAAATCTGACATTAGACATTACTAATAAAAAATTAATGTTTTCTGATGAAAAATTGCATGGTAAAGATTAAATATGGTATGGATTTTCGTTAAAATTTTCCTGATATACTTGAAAAAGTCGGGAAATTTTTTTTCCTCCTGAAATTGAGTTAGAACCTTGTGTAGGAAATTAAAATTATTACATAATCAGGATGCTCTTTTAAAGTCTATTACTTAGCATTGCATCTGAATATATGCTAGCCTTCACAAACTTATTTACATCAGCAACTAACTATTGTCAAACAGAGATCTCTCTGATTGGTTGTCTACTGATAGTTTACTAAACAGAGATATCCCCCAGTTAATCGATAAAGTGTTAACATGTATGAATTATGAATACATTCAATAAAAACAAGTAATATAAATATAAATTAGTCAATTCCTATTTTGGTCAACAAAGAAAATTTTTATTTTAGTTACTTTTTATTAAATAATTAAACATTTTTCTCATTGAAAATTATTGACCATTAAAAATTAGAACAAGATAAGAGTGTGAACTAATAGTAGGAATTGTATAAGTCATAACTATTATATATTTTTAATTTTCATTAATTATATTTTCAATATCATCAAAAATATACAGGGTTGCCACTCCACAGGGAGAACAGGAAAAACCTGGAAAATACAGGGAATTTAAAAATCACTTAAAATAACAGGGAAAATACACAATTTTGTTTCTTATTTTTGTGTTTTAAAAAATGGTAACCACTCAAAGCGTAATCTATGGGATATTTAACTGTTATATTTCAGCTATACTAAACTGTTTCATTTACTATAGCATTATTTTAAGTATGTTCAGCTGATTTTCCAGCAATTAAAACCAGGGTTGGGGTTTTGGACAGGACACGTGGATTTTACTGTCCTGAACTGGGTAAAACTGTCTTAAAGTGTCCAAAACCTTGAACTTTGGTAAAAGGTAAAAATTCTATAGATGTAACCATTATAATAATTACATGTATCAATAAATATTTGATATTTTTTATACAATTTACTATAACTGATAAAAAGAAAATAATATAATAGGAAAAGGTTTATAATTTTTGAAGCTCCACAATTCATTGAACAACAAAAGTGAATACCCAATCCTTTAAATATAAATTTGCTTTTAATACTGATAAATAATATTTTTGCATAAGGATAAATATGGCAATATTAAAAAATAATTTTTCTTAAAATATATTAGTTTAAATTGAAGATACAAAATAACTGAAAAATGTATTAACAGTTTTGAGGAGCATAACATGAATAAATTAAAGTATTCTTGAATAGTACTTTAGATAAATAGATGTGTTTATGACGAACCAAGCACTTAGTCCCTAATATTTTAACCTGTATGGCAAGGCCAAACTGCAGTTATGTACTATTGAATGAGAGGACCAATTGAATGAACTTGATTACTGATTAATCTTCCTTTGTTTAAATTGAAGAGTCAAACAATATTAATAAAACATTATACTTTTAAAAACAAATATTCTCTAGTATATTTAATTATCAATATGTTATTAGTTCTATGTTTATTTTACCTCTTAAATATTGTTCAGATAAAATTGTGACATAATTTGAGTAAAAGGGTTTTGGACAAAGGGGTTTTGGACAGGACGGTTTATACCAGGGTTTAAACCGTGGATTAATCCATTCTGTCCTAAACCTTGCCAACCCTGATTAAAACTAATAAATATAGTATGCCCATTATAGCTCACACAAAAGAGCACAGTAGTTGTTGTTTCCTCTTACTATATTGTGTATAATATGTACAGGGAAAACACAGGGAATTTTTTTTTCCAGATTTGAGTGGAAACCCTGATATTTCAACGATACATATCTGTTAATGATTTGTATTTGAAATTAGTCACAACAATAGGGTGATATCAACTATTTTGTTTTTAAAATCACTAAGTTGATTTCTGTATCCGTGTGAGTCATAGTACTACTATTAATACATTTCATCATTGTCTGTCAGTTATCAGTTCTGAACAATTTCACGATTGCTAAGTTCATTTATTACTCACATCATACTGATTACCAATTTTAAACAATTTAAGTTTTTTATATATGTGCAAGATTTTATTTCTTTAACATCAAAAATTCCATATCTGAATTTCTGTCTTTGTCTACAGTATAATTTTATTAATACAAATTTTTACATCGTTTTAAAGCATTTTAAATTACAAAATATATAATTAAACAAAACTAATACAATAGTTCTTGGGGAGTCCAATTATGTACATATGTAGGATTTTTTTTTTTTTTTTTTAAATGGGATAATTTTTTCATTAACTATTCACCAGATTCTGTTCAAATACTTATTATAATAACTATATTTTTGAAAACTTTATCACAGTCTACACATTTTAGTACAAATTATGAAATATGGATTACTTACCAACATTAGGAATTTGTAGTGTATACTGCATCATTATTTAGAAATCTGAGTTTCCTGTATAATAACCTTCCAAAATTTCATTTAAAAGGGTTCAATATATGCATCAATCATAATTTTCTTGTTTGAAAATTGAATCCACTCTTTTTAAAAAAACTTTGCATTATTCTACTGATCTCTGCCTTCAAATTCCTAAATTATTCAAGATCTCTAAAAGCACTTTGATGAATATAATTAAAAATCTAATTTTATTTATTCTAAAGGCTGGAAAATGGTGTTCCAATTTCGTGACATTCTCTTGAAGCTAAATTTCAAAATCTGGAAAAAGTGCTGAAGGACTAGCTGAAATTTATATGCAATATTAAAAGATGACATTTTATTTTTAAAATATTTTATTCATATAAAAAACTGCATTAGTGAGTTTCAGAATTCTTGCAGTGTTGAATTTTTTTTTTTTTTTTTTCAAAATTAGTCCAGTATTAATGAAATAACATGGTGCATAGCATTTTTTAAAACTGCTTTTCTTCATGGGGTATTTTTAAAACGTGCTTAATTTTCCTTTTTTGAATCTGATATTTTTTTCTTTGCCGTGTCGATTTTCTCTTTCGTATTATGCAAAAGCGTTTTCGCATTGTTCTATTCAACATTTTCACAACATTCTACCACAATAAATTTAGATGTATTTTATGTCTGTAACGTTTGGTAGCGCCAATACAGAGCTGGATTCGTTGATATTATTGCACTCTCATCTCATGTACAACTCTGCAGAATTTTGCAAGTTATTCTCAATTTCAGGCTTTATTTTCCACCGTCTGAAATCTAATCGAAAAATGTCTGTCTTTTTATAGTGTCTAATATAATCTAGAAAAGAGTTTGTCAGAAACTAGTTATTTTATCATGATCATGTAAAGGCTTTGAAAATTATTTTACATTTTGTTAATGTATATAGTGCTTAAGAAATATTTTTGAGTGCTTAAAAAGTGAATAAAAGGTGCTTATCTTTTGTTGAGAGATTTGGTTATGCACCCTGAATAAGTAAATATTTGCACTAATTTTATGTAGTCAAGATATAGCAACATGGGGCCGTTCAAAAAGTACGTACATCCCGAAGGGGGGGAGGGGATTTGCTATTATGTACGGTTTTGTACGATGGGGAGGGGGGGAGGTATTATACAAAGTACGTACTTTATAAACATACACCAAATTTAAATTTGACTTTATCCTACACCCTCCTTAAGTAAATATTTAATTTTATTTAAAACATAATTATTTTAATTTTTATGAAAAAGGGGGGTAGACTAATAAAATGTACGTACTCTAAGGGGGGGAGTAAGACCTTATGTACGGTAATGTACGAAGGGGGGTTTAAAATTTCTCCATTTTTGTGTACGTACTTTTTGAACGGCCCCCATAACATTATGTAGGGGTGATTGTATTACGGGTTTGGCTTCGAATTCCTTATTTTCCTTATCGTTCTTCTGGGAATAATTGCTAGAAACAGATGTGGTTTTTTCTGCGAATCAAAAACTTGAAATACACCAATATTTTTAACCTTTTGCTAAATTACATTAACGGCACATTTACATGCATGTGATTCTTCCACCAATTTGATTCTTTTAGTATGTCGGATTTTCCTTATTTTCCTTATCGTTCTTCTGGGAATAATTGCTAGAAACAGATGTGGTTTTTTCTGCGAATCAAAAACTTGAAGTACACCAATATTTTTAACCTTTTGCTAAATTACATTAACGGCACATTTACATGCATGTGATTCTTCCACCAATTTGATTCTTTTAGTATGTCGGATTTTCGCAATTTTGAATAGTTGTAACTGTACCGGAGTCTGCTAATATCTTGATTCTTATTCACTCGATTTTAATACGAAGCATCGAGTTTCATCTTTTCCTGATCTCAAAGTTATTATCCTGATTCGTATTAACACGGTTTAAAAAAATACTCCATCCCGATACTTATTCGCAGGATTGAAAAATCCAATATCAATGTTTGTATTTTTACGCATTTTGAAACCCAATATCACAGCAAATTCCTACTCATGTAAGTTTAAAATCCCAATATCACACACAATTCGTATGCACACAGTTGTTTTGTCAAACTTCAAAATTTTATTTTTTATGCGTAGTTAAAAAAGCATGCTTTGCAATTTGACTTTACATGATCTAAAAATTATACATCGTGATTGGTATTTACGCGATTTTGGAATCTAATATCAATATAACTGATTCACTAGTAAGGAAAATTCCAATCACAGTTTACTGATAGAATTTTTATTTTACTTTATGATATATATTGTTCTGTGTGATATTGAAAGAAAAATAGCAAATAATTGATTCACAATTGCACCTTAAAATTTGATAGCTTTATTATCAATATTATGTCAAAAGTTTTATATTTTAGTCATTTAATGGAAAACAGGAAGTGAAAAATTCATTTTCATTACAGTTTGTGCAACTCTGTTGATTTCGCCTAATCAGGATGAGAATTTGAATTTCTTTGTGATGGTTGTTGACAAGTGCCTTAGCCATGAGGTAATCTTGAACTTTTTTTTAAGATTTGAAAATTTTTTTGAACTATTCTTAAACAATATTGATTTGGTATAAATCAATTTGCTCTTTGTTTAAGAAAGAAAAGTCTTAACATTTTTTTTAAAATTTATTTTAATAATAAATTTTTAATTTTTGAAATTGTGTAATTTCAAATGACACTTTATGTAGGTAAATTTGTTTTTACTTAATAATTAAATAATAAAAATTAGTCTTTAATATGTATTTTATGCCACTCAAACACCAAAAAGGAGTTTTGGTAATTTTTATACTTGCGTTTTAAGTCATATACTTACGTTTTAAGTCATTTTGAATAAAATAGATTTTTTTTTCTCGTATGCAATATTCAAAATTTCAAATTTCCTATGAATAAAAATGAAGAACAGAATTTTTCTTGTTAGTGCAAATTACCAATTAGATTTCAAGACATATATGCCTTTTCATGGATGAAATTTAATACCAAAGTAAATAACCTTTTTTTTTTTTGTAGTCCCATTAAAGTTTTAAAAATATTCCCATTCCATTTACGGGGATTCTGCTTGACTTTTGAATACTACGCAACCTGGATTACCATTTTTTTTTAATGCTAAAAATGGGTCCCTATTTAAGATATAATTCGCTTAAACTTTTAAAAAATGTTTCAAACATTTAAAAAAAAAAAAAAAAACTATTTAACGGAGGGAGAAGGTAGTTTCTAAGACTGAAAAAATTCATTTGATATTGAGTGGACGAACTCTCAACCTCTTCATCTTTAATGATTCCTATTAATCTTTCCATTTATGAAAATATAGATAAACAAAACAAAAAATTTCAATGAAGTGAGAGTTAAATTTGAAATCAAAAGTTTTTACCTAGAGCTATTTAAAGATTTTAATCAAACGTGTGGATCAATTAAAATCAGTAAGCTATTTTTTTTGTTTATTTTTTGTTTTGTTAATATTTCATAGTTTGTTTTAATATTGCAGACATAAGTAAATCTGCTGGTGCGTTATTTGAAAATTTTTCTCTCTGAAAAATTATGCATGCGAGAGGACACTTAAACCTTTTTTTGTGCCCTCTTTAAAACTTTTGGCGCATAAGCAGAATCTTTGTATAAGACTATAAAAAGTAATTACCAATAAATAAACTTCTTCTTTTTTTCCCCATTTTAACAGACAGATGTCACATTTTGAAATAAATCATTCTTTAGACAGTGTTAGTTTGTCTTGAAAGTTTCTCTTTGTATAAAGATTTATGGATAAAATAAGTAATATAAATGATAAGCATTTACAAATTTTAAAAATATTTTAAATTCAGCATTTTTAAATCTTAGCAATATAGAATGTTAGAAGTGTGAAAATGATTAATTTATTATAGAAATTTCTTTACCACAACAATTTTGAGTATGAGCTAGCATTTACAATGAAAACATATTTATTTTAAGAAATCTTTTATTATTAAAAAAATCTTTTATTCTTTGGGTTTGTGGTCTTAATTGTGAATATATTTTTCAGGCATTTACTCCTGTACAGAAACGGAGATTATTTGCTTGGAAGCAACAGATACAAAAAGCATGTAATCCCCTTCCTCCACGACGCTCTTTGGACAACAAGCACAGAAAGTAAGCATTGTTCTTTGTTTCTGAGGAATCATAGATATAAAATTCTATTTTTCAGAAACTATTTTCTTTCCTTAAAACAGTCATTGATCAGCCATCCCAGTTTTTGGGTTTACGACTACTAATGTTCAACTCCATAGCCTTGTCATATTGAACCCAATTCAGAAGACAAGGGAACTACTGGAAGATCCCGATAACCTCCCATTGTTAGCCTGATGGCAAAAGGACTAACACATGATCCGTCTACCACTCAGGATAATTCACGTCAACACTGTGGTCGGTATGAGCCGGGTGCAGAATTCGTATCGACCTGCCATTGACGGAATTCGAACCCAGTTCTTCTAATTGGAAGACAAACTCGCTATCCTCTGAGTCATCACGACTCTTTGCAATGGATATTTTTTATGACTGTCGTCGAACAGTACATTATTTTATTAAAATAAATAATCGGCGAAAAATAATTTTTGCATTAAATTATCTTTGGATAAACGAATTTAATAATTGCGCACAGGAAATTTTCGAGTCTCTAAAAAATTCCTCGAATACCAAAATACGCAAAAAATAAAATATCAATGGATCCGAAATGCAGACCTCCCTCCCAACCAAACTACTGGGACCCTATTTCAGATTGTCGCTACCCCTAATATTTTATGATTAAGGAATCAAAATCCGTGTATGGTATGTTTATTCATAGGAAGAATGATTTTGCCACTTAAATTATCATCTGCACTGTTAGAGGTTACATTACTTTGAACCATTAAAATTGAATCCTAGTACACGAGGATCTGATTGTTAGATTAAAAGTAATTGCAAGTGATTTTTTTTTATGTATATACATTGTGCTACATTTAAATGTGTACACTTGTGGTGCATTGCTTTAGAGATCAACTTTTTAAAGGGATAACTCTCTGTCCCCCACTTCTAATTTCTAAAGTCCTATTTCAGTAAACCCTATTGATTGTTTCTCATGAAACTATTCACTGTGAACGACAGTTACAGGGTAAACTAATACTGGATGAGTAGCTTTTTTAAAAGGTGCTTATTTTCACTTTTAAAAACCCTTAAGGGTGCTTTTTTTGTGGTTGTTTTTAAAATGTGCTTAATTTTTCCCTTTTCAAAAATGAGATTTTTTTTCTTCGCCACTTATTGTGCAAAAGCGTGCTTTTCATATTGTTGTATTCAACATTTTCACAATTCATTCAACCACAATCTGTTTCGGCGTACTGTCAATCAATAGCGTATGAAAGAGCTAACCATTTCACATGTTTGATGAAATACTCGCGAGTCCGCATGTCCATATACTTAGCTGGGTTCGGTTAGATTATGGCACTCTTAAGTGCAATTCTGCTGCATTTTGCAAGATATTCTCAATTTCCGACTTCATCTTCCACCCTCTGATATCAAAAGCAAAAATCTCTAGAATCATTTTATAATGGCTAATCTAATCAAGATTAGTTCCTTGTCAGAAACTGGTTATTAATTCATTGATTTTCAAGTACAAAATATTTAAATTATGTACTTTCTGTCGAAATATTTATTATGTAAAAGAAGAATACATATATTTATGTAAAACCTTCATTTGAACACACTCTTCTCTTCTTGACATCAAAAAAAAAAAAAAAAAAAAATTTTAGATGTTTGTAACAGATGGCTGTTCATTCTCTGCAAGTTCTTTTAGTTTCTAAGTCTTAGTGGGCTTGACTGTATATGTTGATGTGCTTTGGACATAAATAACTTATTCACTAATTTTGTTATTGTGTGTGTGTTTTTTATAGCAAGTGGAACAACTATCATAATGGTGGACCTAATGAATCTGCAGAATCTGTTGTGGGTGGTTCAGTCTCATTAAGAAGGCGTGTGCCTGTTCAATTTCAACAACCTCAACGCATGCCACTTTCCAGGCAGAATGGCCAATACTCATCCCAAAGGAGTGTACCTATATCTACTGCGGTCATAAAAAGGCCTAGTCTACAAGATGTAAGCTACCATATTTACTTTACCTTATAAACAGGCTGACCAAAGAACAGGGAAAAGTTTTATCAATCTGCTAAAATCGAGGAATGCCCAAGGAGTCTGGAGAAAATAAACTAATTTGAGTTTGTGGCGTCATTAAAAGTTGTGAATAAAAAAAATGGCTTAACTGGAAATATTTATAAAATTTTATGCGGATGGTTACAACATACCAGCTAAGTCTCCTGTTTTTTTAACAAAGACTTCTGTATTTTACGACTATTTTCTATTTACCCTTATATTCTCAAATTTCTGTGTATTCGTTCAAGAAATTTTTTTACAAAATTGGCTATTGGTATTTCTGCTGATGGCTTATTTCTCAACAGATGGTGCTAGTGTCAATACTGATGTTGAATGTTAATAGTAATAAAGTAATTATAAATAATGGTTTAAGAAATTTTCTTATGATTAAGGTTTATATGCATATATTTCCAATTTCGAATTTCTCTTTTTGACTTACATGATTATACCTGATGTATCAAAACTTTACGTGTAGCCTGAAAAATTTCGCTAGTAAAATCTCCTTTATTTTATTTCTCCTATATTGGCAGGTATGTTACAAAAATCAAGTAAAAAATTGTTAAAAATAAATCATACAGTAAAAATGAAGAGAATATTTGAATGTCTTGCTAGAATTATTGTTAAATAAATTTCTGAATACTAAATGATGTCTTGGATGGTTTAAAACTTTATAAATTAGAATAAATTGAGATTATCAGTTTTTGTATCACTTTCATATATATGTCGAAATTTATTATGTAGAATTTTTTTAAATTATGCTTCATTATAACAAATGATTATTTTAAAATTTTTCTTCTGTTGATCTATTCGTACATTAATTCAATTATAAGTTTAGGACACAAAATTATAAAGTTTGATAACTTTCAACTTGCTTGTAACAGCACAAGTCTTTTTTGCTGCTTTCCAAATCATTATTTAATTTTTATTCACATGATCATAGCTGCCAACTCTACTGGATTTTGTCAATTTCTCCTGGTCTACTTTTAAAAATCCCTTTAAAAATAGAATTTTTGCATAAATTTTTGCTTGCTTGAAATATTTAAATATTACTTATGCATAATGAAGCGATCCTCATTTGTTATAATCAGTTTTATCCTTTTTTTATTTTTTATTTTAATTAACTTTTTTTTCTTCGGAACACCCTTTTTTAAACTAATTCCTGGTGCATAGCACTTTTAAAAGGTGCTAATTTTCGTTTTTTAAAACTGCTTTCTTTCATTTTGTGTTTTTAAAAAGTGCTTCATTTTCTCTGTTCGAAAATGAGATTTTCAAAAGGGGAATGTCTATTTTCTCCATGTACTACGTAAAAGCGCTCTTTTTCAAATTGTTCTATTCAACGTTTTCACAATCTATCTTCTGTCACAATCTATCTAAAAAGTGCTTCATTTTCTCTGTTCGAAAATGAGATTTTCAAAAAGGGAATGTCGATTTTCTCCATGTACTACGTAAAAGCGCTCTTTTCAAATTGTTCTATTCAACGTTTTCACAATTTATTCGCCACAATCTATTTCGGTGTACCGTCAGTCATTAGCATATGAAAGCACCGATGATTTTACATATATGATGGAATACTTACGTGTCCACATGTGCATTTATTGGGTTTGGTGAGAGTATTGCACTCTCGTGTGCAACTCTGCTGCATTTTACAAGATATTCTCAATTTCAGGCTTCATTTTCCAAACTTTGATATTGCACTAAAAATTCTTTTGATCATTTTATAATAGCTAATATAATCAAGAAAAGAGTTCTTCATCAGAAACTAGTCATTTTATAATGATCATGTAAAGTCTTTGAAAATTATTTTGTTAATGTATGTAGTACTTAAAAATATTTTTGATTGCTTAAGAAGTACTTAAAAGGTGCTTCTTTTTAGTTAAAATGTTTGGCTATGCATCCTGTAGTAGAAAAAATCTTTCTACTATCAATAATAAAATACTTGTCTGTTAGTATTCAAAATTATCAGTTACATTTAATGTCAATCATAACCTTAATGTAAAATATTTAGTATATTATGCTACTGTTATCATGAAATTTATAGTATTTTATAAAATCTACTGGATTTTATTTTCTATCCATGTTGGCAGCTATGCCTGTTTTTAGTATTTTATTTTTCTTATTGTTGTCTTATGCCTGGTAGATTTGCTTAAAGAATTTTTTTTTAAAAAATTTAATTTCTGATGAAAATTTACCGTTAACAAAAATATTACTCAATAGTATGTAGATACTTTTTAAAAAATCTAGAAGTGTCTTTTTTTGTGGGGGGGGGACCTTGTTTCTTGTGCTGAAGTTATTTTTGCTAGTTATTTAAAGTGCTTCTTTTAAATGTTTGGTTCTATTGCAGCATATGAAGCCACATGTTCAAATACAACGGACAAATTCTGCTCCAGTTCGACCAAACCCCTTGCCAATGTCTATGTTTGGTAAAAATGTGGATGGTAAGAACTTACTTTTTGTTTAAGATTTCAGTATACCAAATTTATTATTTTTCAATAAATTTTTAGGTGTAAGTTAGTTTACTCTTTAAAAACATTAGTCTAGAATTTAAGTTCATCATGCCAAATGCATTTGTGCTAAGAAACAGTGATGTGCAATAATTTTCAAGTATTTTAAGAATCGGTATAAAGACTTGTGTTTAACTTTTAAGTAGTATAAAAAGTTTTCTCATTAATATTAAAATGTACTGGTTTTTCAATTCATAAACTTGTTAACCCCTTGCACTATTTTCACCAGTCAGGCTTGTTGTTTAATTTCATGTCAACCATAAATCTCATGAGTCTGGCTCGTAGTCTACATATCGCAAGCCTTACTTAATCTCTGGCTAAACAAGAACCTCTGAATGTGCTCTCTTCTTTATATGAATATGTATTTTATATCTTGTCTCCCCTCTCTCTCTCTTGTCTTGGACTCTTTACGCAAGCATGCCTGTGCATAAGTTAGGCACGGCTTGTTTCGAATTTCAGCATACTGCAAGGGTTTAAACAACATTTTTAAATCTGTTTTTTTGCAAACATATTAAAAACTCCATAAGATCAATTCTGACTGAAACAAATGAAGCAGTTTTTACTAGCTAGAAAGATTTTGTCTTCTAGTCTTTCTATATATTCAATAACATATTTTATCTTAAGGGTAAAATTTAAGTAGAGTGGGGTTTAGTTTTTTACTACCACTGTAAAATGAAATTGTATTTCCACGATAACCTGTTTTTGCTAGTAGTCTCTAAAATTTTGTGAACAAAAGTATGATAGTGGTAATATAGTCAGCTATATGCTCAACTCATCGATATGAAGCTGAATGGTATTGTGGGGATAGTAGTTATAGACAATGTCAACATTAATCTATGAAAAGGGACCCCAACGTAGAATCTAGTTAACATGTCTTATATACTAGGGCAGTGTTTCCGAAAGCAGGGGTCTGTCCAGGCCGAATTTACTACCGTTTAGCGGTACCTTCACAAATTCAATTTTAGGTAAAACGGTTGTTTCACAAATTCAACTTCAGGAAAGACGGCAGTTTCACAAAATACTTTTTCTTAAAAATTTATTTTTGTATCTCTTAAGAAACGATAAATCTATATTTTTACCATGTTTTTGTATTGATTTTTTAATATAATTTTTAATTTTTCACAAATTATGTCAAAATTTTCACAAAATAAGTACTTTTAGAAAAACCTAAACAGACCCCTGCAAAGTGTGGTACGCGTATCCCCAGGGGTACGGGAGCAGTTTAACGGGGGTACACGTTCTTATACAAAATAGCTTGAAAAATTTTCAAAAATCTTTATTTAAAAACAAAGCTAGCCATGAAAATTTATGATTACATATTTTTCTATTGCTATTTTTTGCAGAGTTAACAGTTAATAATTACTGGTGTCAAGATCCAGTTGTGATTTTTAACTTTTGTGCAATTTTTTTACAGTAAAAAATACTTTTTTTTTTTATTAGTTGTACACAGCGTCGTGAAAAATTAGAAAGGGTACACAAAAGTCATAAGTTTGGAAAACACTGCACTAGGGAATTAGAATTGTATTTTTATAGTGGTAGATACACTACAAGTTAGAACCCTAGTTTTTCAAGATGAGAGTTCAGGACCCTAACTGCTGAGCCATCGTGGCTCAAAAACAATCAACATTCTTAATTTATAACTCTTTGTAATTCCTATGTTTTGTTTCAAGTTTTCATACAAATCAAGTTCAATTCTTTTATGTTGAATAGAGTATTCCTTTTATAGAAATATGTTAATATTTGCAGGAGTGGATGCAAATGATCCTGAATTAAATATTAGGCTGGAATCTCTGTGCCTCAGTGTGACCGAGCATGCTCTTGGTGGTTTTGGTGAGTTTTTTTTTTCTCCTGCTGTAAATAACATTTTTCAACTATACCAGATTATATCAAACACTGAGTTTTAATTTTATTTTCAAATCTATTTTTCCATTTAATTTAGTAACAGAATGGAATGTTCATATAAAATAATTTCGTTTACTTCTATATTTATGTTATACATATATGTATTGAAAATTTAGTGGATACTGCAGTGTTTTCTTAAAACATGTAATATTTGTTGTCATATATTTATTCTACATAAGATTTTAATACTTTAAGTAGGTATGGAATCAAATACTTATAAGATATAAAAAATGCAGTAGATAAAAACTTTAACTTTTTGTCTTGACATTCTTGAGTTTAACTTTTTGTCTTGACATTCTTGAGTTTCAATTGTGCACAGAATATAATATGATTATAAACAGATATGTATAGTTGGTAACCAGAAGTTGACAATTGGCTCCGCCTTCATCACATGATATCCAACAATACTATTCCGCTATTTTTGAGCGAAGGATATGAACAAGGTTGCTATTTGGCGATTGCATGACATAAATATTTATTTCGCAATCTTTATGTGCATATTTTTTTAACATTAAATATTTCATAAATTTGATAATATTTCTCTCTTTTGAGTGAATAGTTTGTCCTTTTTGAGACATTTTGCTGGGAACAGAAGTTTTTAAATTTAAGATGTATTTAATTAGCTAGAGAAACGAAAGCTATAATAGCAGATAATAAAGTGAAGTAAGTGATTGAAAAAGATTTCACTGTTTGTGTTTGGCGCATATTAAGGGTTGTCTCAATTTAAAGGGCAGAGATGTTTCTCCTTTCCCTCGCTGAAATGAACTCAGCCTCCAAGGAGGGGGAGCCAAGTGCCAACTACTGGTCAACGAACTATATATATGTATAACATACACTAACACCATTCATGCAAAAAATCTTACCATTACTAAAGAAGAGAAAAAGTTGTCAATACTTCCTAATCCTAGCCTGCATGTCAATATGGCAGTGAATTGATATTAGAAATCTTTTTCTACACTTTTCTTGCAATTACATCATTACATTCAACTTTAAAGGAGGATTTCCTCTCCCCCCCCCCTGCTTTTTTCCATTAAATAGAAAAAAATTGCTCAAAAAATCGCACATTCAGATTCATAATTGCACAATTTAAATAAAGTATATCATTATTTAATTGAAACACTGACAACGTTCTGCAGAAAAATGTTTCCTCAAACTTCAGGTATTAAAATTATTTATAAAGTGTTTCAGTTGGCAATTTTGAATTTCTATTTTCAGCTTGTTTGGTTGTTAACTAAACTCATACCTATGGTATAAATCAATTTTATAAAAATTAAATATTTTTCCTTAATTTTCATATAATTTCATCAAAATGAGTTTGTGACGAAAAGTTTGAAACTAGCTGCTAAAGTTAATCAAATGCTTTGCAGTAATTTTAATTTAGATTTTTTGTTGGCAGTTGATAGAAAGTTCACTTTTTCCAAGTCTAAAATAAATATGAATTTTAAAATAATCAAGTTGAAACAAAGAAATCAAAGGATTTTAATTTTTGATCCTAATTTTTATTTTAATAATGCTGGTAAATTTGCAGAATCTTAAAGTCTGAGTTTAGGGACTGTCCATTAATTGCTTTAGAGAGTCTTACCTAAAATATTCATTGTTTTACACTTTCTGTAACTTTATGAAAAAGAAATTCCATCAATAGTTTTACTATATCAAATTTTATTATGATTTCACTTATTTATTTTCAGCAAGTTTTGTTGGCAGGAGATAATTATTGATTTATCTTTTTCATACATGACTTTAAAATTGTCAAGTGACATATTCACTGCATTTTCAAGATTATGGAACTCCTACTTTAAAATTATTTGATTAAAGTTACCTTGAGCTCAAAATTTTTAAGGAAACATCCGTTTGGGAAATATTATCAAATTGATACTTTTTTTTTCTTTTCTAAGCAACAATCTATATTTAAAAAGCCTTAATTTTTGGTATTGTGTTACACTTTGTTTTGTTACGCAAAGACTAAAGATATATAGAAAAATGTTGGAGGAATACAATTAAATAAATGAATTTAACACTCAACTCAAATATTAGTAAGTAAAAATATCTTGCTTACTGCTTTGCAATCTGCAGGAATGAAATTTATCTTTCCTGAGTTTTCACAAGCTTGCACTTTATTTGATGTAAAATGAATAAATGTTATTATAAAAACAGATTGCCAGATTTAACATTTGTATCAAAACTTTAAAAGGTTTGAAGGCTGTTGTATGAATGATAAACATTGTATTCATTTTACTTCTCTTCACACGTTCTGTATTAATAGCTACAATTGATTACTTTTCCATTAATTTCGCTCTCATGTTAACAAAATGTGCTTTCATAAAATTACGATAAATATAGTTTTTATCGACATTTAAGAGAAAGAACCACGGGTTGGTGAGCAACATGAACGTAAGGCCTCTTAATACTATAAAAAAAAAATTTGATTTCTTTATTCAGTTTTCTATCTGTAAGTAAAAGTAAGTCGTAATTATATTTTATTATTCTTTTAAAAAGTAATCTGGTATCCTCATACTATTCCAAAATATGTCCTTATTTGAAAGTTGCTTATTAGAGTGTTATTTACTGACAATAAAAGTCTGTCATAATGACAATTCAAAATAGCAGATGGAATTATGGACAAATACACATATTTAATATTAAAATAGGAGACTACGAATGAATGCTTATTTCAATAATTAGTTGTCACAAATAATAAATTGTGATCAACAAAAGGCTGTTGATTCTAAAAATTGCAGAAGTGGGGGTTTAGATTTGTTTAGCCTCTTGCTGTATTACCATATTTTTATAGTTGTGTAAAAGTTTCTCTTTTAGTCAGTTATGCATTGCTGCAGACTCTTCTGCATTTTGCCAAAGGTTTTTGCATTTTCACAGAGTTTTCCGTCGTTCAGCATTGTGACTTAAATCTTCGGTCTTTTTTTAAACTTGTGCATTAAATTTCTCCTTCCTGTTATATGATAATATAGTCTTCAAAAATATATTTTATTAATAATGTGTTTTAAAGTTTATTAGTGTTTTAAAAGGAAAAAAATCTGAATCTTAAAACCAGTGTAAGAAATAACAAATGTAGAATACTCTTGTTGTGAAAAAGATCAACAAGACTACATAGAGAATCTGCATGATTTGAGCGTGTTAAGAATATAGGATGGGCAATTGAAAATTTAATGGGATAATCACAAATGTTAACAATAACTGTCAAAAACGTTTTAAACAAGGTCACTTGGAATCATTGTGAATCAAGTGTGCAAGAAATACACTGAAATTCACTATTCAAACTTTGCATGTTCTGATTTTTAAAAAGAGGAATTTAAAAATCTTCGGAAAATTCTCAATAATAACTACCGAGAAACGAAAGACGAACCATGTGAAATGCACGGGCAGGGTTCCCACGGTACTTGAAAAACCTTGAAAGTCCTTGAATTTTGTTGGAAAAAAATCAGGGCCTGTTGTTGAATTTTGTTGGAAAAAAGTCTTTGAATTCTACCATAGGGTACTTGAAAAGTATTTGATTTTTTAGGAATTAAATCAATACTAATCTTTCTTACTAAAAAGCAGTAAAAAAATAATAAATTCAAAGGAAAATTATAGAAATTCTGATAGATGCAATTTTTAATGCTTGAAGTCAAAACATGCAAAACTTTTCTCTCCTAAATTTTTTACACCAGATTATTGCTCATCTCTCTGATGTTTGGAGGCTGAAATTTCTAGCAAATGTAAGGTTTTGTTGCCATAGTTTTCGAATGATCTATAGTGTTTAATCGATTTAGAAATATGTTCAATGTGTTAATTTTATTATTATGACATGTTAATATTGTTATCCTATTTGTTCTTCTAATTTACCTATTTAGTTCTACAGGTTTCATTGATTATGAATAAGCATTGTGATTCACATTCAACTGATTCTTGATTCACGGATCTGTATTCATATAAATTGTTCTACGAATTGTGATGTGAATGAAAGTGATTAATGAATCCCCTATCTAATATTACTTTAAAGTGATTTGCAAATTACTCGTCGGGATTCATATTCACAGTATTCACACATCATGATTTCAATTATAGTTATTTTTGAATCATGTAACGTAATACATATTTAAGTAATTTCAGAATCATGCCTCACAATTCTCCTTCTAGTAGTTTACAAATCAGGCATTGCGATTCACAAAAGAGAGATTTAAGAATTACCACTCGCAATTCTCATCAAAATGATCTAAGAATCACACATAGCTGTTCTATATTAAGCACCTTTTGAATCACAAATTGCAGTTTTCCTCATAATGTTGTTTACAATTCATATGAAAACTATTAGCTAATCATGCAACAGAATTCATATTGAAGTGATTTATGTATCACACACTGTGATTTACGTCTTGTTAGTTCGTGCGTTTTGTATCATTTGCTATTCACATTGTTCAGATTTAAGAAGCATACACCGCAATTCAATTTCAATTTACAAATCACACATTGTGATATGTGATTTACATAATCTTTGAGACTTCACCTTTCTTATAATTTTGATTTGCATATAGTATATCTAAGTTCATATAAATGTGTACTTTTCACTATTTTTAAAATCAAATGTTCACAAAATTTTAAAAATCACGCTTCACATTTTATAGATATATTTTAAAGAAAATGAAGCTTAGTGAGTCTTAGTTTTATGTAAAATATTGTCCTACAATAGATTTTGTTATGTTCAAAATACATTACTGATATTTTGAAGTAACAAAATAGATAATTTGTTATTAAAATCGAAACATATGTTAAATGCATGTAAATTTTGATATTTTATCCAATTATATTGTTTCTTAAAAATGGAACCCTGACTGGGATAGAAGACTAATATCTCAAATAGTTAAATGCTCATTCCCACGCCATAATAAAATGGAAGAAAATTAAACCCATTTTAAAATCAGTGTGGAATAACTGCATTTTGCTGTGTCTATTTTTGAGCTTTGTGTCCAAACCGAAAAGCTCACTGATGCTGAGTATTTTACTGCATATAGCTAAACTATAGTTTCTTTTTCACATTCTAGATGGAGCTGTGCCTTTGTTTTAAAGAAAGGATCTACTAAATATATATATATATATTTGCTGTGTGTGCCAATGACTTCAGTTGCTTTGACTTCTGAATGGATGTGTATATTGTTATATGGTTGTTTTCATCTGTATTGTAAAGAAGAAAAAAAAATAGACATTTGTATTTTTCTGATTATCGGAGAACCATCCTCTGCTGGGAATTTTTTATTTTTACTTCCAAGACGACAGCTTGACTGGATTGTATATTTTTTAAACGTCTTCCCTTCGCTTTAAAGTATATAACTTACCTGTTTAGGAAAAAGAAGCAATTTAAATTTTTAGTTTAAAAAGCAAAGTGGACCAAAACTTTGTTGTGCCTTAAACTCAAAATGTAATGCTGTGCATAAATATTTCATATATAGATATATATATATATTTTCTTACATTCTGGTTGTTTCAGTCTTTACGCCTAATATTACTGGCTGGCCGTTATCTTAAAATTGTGCTGTTAAGTTTACAAATATTTTGTTAAATATGCTTTAAGATCTCCCCCCCCCCTTCTATGAATTGTGAGTTTGGATTTCTTGCATACCTTTGGTTTTAATTTGCGAAAAACAGTTCAACAATTAATGTTTTGATTTTTTAAATTTTGAAATAGGCATATAATTATTTGTTTCAAGGGTTGGAAAGATGTTTGCATACATACTCCATAGCGGCCAACTCTACTGGATTTTATAAGTTTCTCCTGGTTTAATTAAAATTCTCCATTTTTTTGTACATTTTAGAAAATTCCCTAAAATTAGGTATGTTTCCTAAAAACACCTAAAAAAATCTCTATTGAAATAGAATTTCTTATACATGTTGGCAGCTATGCATTTTCCAAACTTTTGATGGCATTTCCATGTAAAATATAGCCATCGTGTTAGGCAATTTTCTATTCTTTTAATTCTATTTATTTTTTTGTCTGAAAAATTGCAATTTATTTAAATCAAAGTTTTTTTAATCATACATTTGAATTTTGGAGAAAATTGTTTTTATTTTATCTGTATATTAATTTATTTATTCTGTCTCTTTGAGCCTAAAAAATCATGTTAACCTTGTATTTAATAAATTCCAATATTTATTCCTACCCTAATTCCATAAAAAATTGTATCTTAAGACTTATAGAGAAAAACTATCTCTTTTTAGATGCAAAAAGTTCAGTTAGAAGAATCCCGTATTAAATTATTGATTTTAAAATACTTTTTAAGATGTGTATCGAGTGTTGATTAACATATTAGTTTAGGAATTATTTCTTATATGGTTACATTAAAGGCAATTTCAATAAATTTTTTAAACTTTTTACTGTGCTTTTTTCCTTAGACTAATACTAAATTAAAAATGAATTTTTTTTTTTTTTTTTTTGCAAATCCTTTTATTTGATTTGAAATGTTTTTCTTGAGTTAAAATCTAAGTATGCAGCTGTGAAATTTTTAAAAACCCACAATAATTAGTAATATTTTGTGAAAGATATTACTTTCTGTATTAAAGAAATTTATGCATATCATTATAGAGGAAATTATTAGACAGCTTTTAAAAGTATGTAAATAATGAGCATACATTTCATTTAGATGGATGTGTACATAAGTTTTTACATAACTGAGATTGAATAAGTCTGACACAATCAGTATTCCTTTAGTTTTTAGACACCTTGTATGCTTGAACGATAAATTAAAAGCAGTTGAATTAAATCCTTTTAATACATTTTTCATTTCGGTTTTACTTTTTTGTAAGACTGTATCAGTGGTAATTGTTTAATTTGTAATAAAAAGGTTCTGTTAATATTTTTGAAGCCTTTTATGGAAATTCTATTTTTGTTTTGAAAATTTGGTATGTACCATTATTTTTTAAAATTCTGTTGACAATTCAGATGGCCAGGTAAATTTTATTTTTCAGTGGGTTCTCACTAATATTAAACTCCAGATAATAGAGCTTTTCATTTTGAAAGTCATTCAAAATTTGGATTGTTCTTATGCTATTTAAAAAAATTTAATGAATTTCACTTATAAAAATAGTATTTTCTGTAAATTTTTTCAAATTTATTTTAGTATTTTGTCAAACTATGTTCAAGATTTAGACTACAAATTTATAGTGAAATTATTTTTAGAATAAATTTGTGATTGACTGCTAAACTGTTTTTTTTTTTTTTTTTTTTTTNTTTTTTTTTTTTTTTTTTTTTTTTTTTTTTTTTTTTTTCATGAATTAAAATAGATAAAAACTGATCAAAAAATGACTGCACCGTCAGATTAGTATTAACAAAAGTCAATGATTATGTATTTTTTTAAATAATAAAGTCTATTATTATTGTATCTAAATCAGATTTGATTCTGATTTTTAGTTGTTTTTGATTAAAAGGTAATTTTCACTCTTACAAAAATCCAATAAATTTTTATTTATTTTTTAATTATGAAGACCATAATTATATCTAACAGTGCTCCCTCATGTCAGGGAAATCCCGGAATTGTCAGAGAGTTTTATTTTGGCTCTTAAAAAGTTTGGAATAGTCAGGATAAAACTAAATTTTTTTAACCAAAACCTGGAAAATTTCTCTGTCATACCTGGAAAATAACCAATCTTAGAATTGTCAGTAACAGTAATCAGTTATTGAGATTAGCATTAATTTCAGCATCTATTACAATTATTATTCACATTTTTGTGTAACCCTCCTCATACAATAATATATTTTGTTTTGCTCAGATAATCTAATATTTGGCAATTTCCAATAAAAGAATCAGTGATGAAAAAATTGCAAGGCATTGATAAAATATAGTCTGAATTTGAGAGGGAACCCTGATCTAAATGAAAGATATAGCTGTGATCATGTAATAAAAATGCATAAAAGTAAAAACATATTATTTCTACGTCAGCCACAATGAATAAATACCTCTTATTTAAAAATTCAATTAAAATTTATTTTAATATAATCTTGATAATTATGGTCTTCAGAATATTTATTTTCAAAAGTTATGAGTTAATCTTAATGAATGAATTGTCGAGAGAATTTTATCATTTGTTAAATTCTTTCCTGTCCTAAATTTTTCTTCACTGCTGTGTTCTCAAGAAAATCTTATGCCGATACTGAAATAAAGTATAGTAAAAATTGTAAAAGCTCCAACTGTTAAATAATGGCCAGAAGTTGAGGCTGTGATAGTTATATATAATGTTAACTGAAAAAAAAAGAAGCTATTTTCCTGGAATACTTTTATTGCTGTCCAGTTGTTAGCTGTGTTAACTTTTATTTGAATATTATGAAATTTTAATTTCTAACAAATGCCTTATCACTGCTGGTCCAGTGCTGTATATGTTAAAAGACTGCAAAAGTTCTATATATATAATCTCTTAGCAATAAGCTTCCAATATGGATTGTGCTCAATGCATTTTACTTTTCTTTTAATTGCTGCTCAAGTTACGTGTTTTATTTTACCCAGCAAATATATATTAACACAGTGTTATATTGTAATTTATGCCAACTATCCATATATTTTCCATAGTTATAAGAAATTTACTTAAGTTTTCTTGGAATGAGATATTAAATGATAAAAGGTTAGTGAAATTCATATTTTTCTTTCATCTATTTTGTTTTTTATATTAATTATAGAGCATAAAAAATTGGTGTATTTTCATTTTTTTTTATCTAGTTTTATTTTCTTTCTTGGACTTGGTACTATTAAATTGAATTTTCCTTCAAAAATAATTAAAATATTCTCTTTAAAACTAACTTTTTTATTTACTTTTTTTACTTATTTTTCTTAGTTATTGAATTCAGGGATTAAATTCCTTTCTCAATTAAAAAGCTTAAAATTTTGACTTCTTGTGTCGTAAATGCTTAATTTAAAATGGCTTATAAAATCTTATTTTTAAGTAATTTCTTGGAAACTTCATTACTTTAAATTTTTTGTTGTAGTGTAAAAAATTGCTTTGATTAACAATTTGTGAACAATATTTAAAAAAAGAAAGATGCAAAAAGTAACTTGCAAAGTAAAGTGCTAATTTTAGTAATGGTCTCGTTGCTTTGGCGTCTATTTCAATAAAACATATAATTTTTTGTAGCTTATGGAGAATTACTGTTTGGCATTCCTGTGTTATGATCTACTTTTTATAAGTGCAGGTCTACTTGTATGTTATGATAAAATTTATGGATAAAATATTTTAATCTTCTAAGTTGATAAAAATACCAAAGAAGATCTTTATTTTATTGTGTTAGTGGCTGGTTCCGCCTATATTGAGAATATATCCCAGAAAAAAGTTTTATTTTAAAATTTACTATCTATATTTTGATGAATGTGATAATCTGGCAATTTTTTTTTTTCTTTACTGTCTTAGCTACATTTTGTGTACAACATGAAAACAAAATGTCCTTTGTAAATTTTACCTGAATTTCTGTTTAAATATTTAATTAAAGAAGAAAAAAAAATTTTTTTACTCCTAGTAAATAAAATTTAGATTAGCTAAGCCATTATGCACAGATGGAATATGTTTATATCTTAAAGTTCGAGTATTCATTTTGTTTTAGAAATTATTTTTTCCTTCTGTTTTTTTTTTTTTTTTTTTAAATTTGTTTCCAACAGCTAAAATTGCTGTTATGTTGCTTAATTTGTAGGCTTGATATCTTAGAAAATAATTCTGGATTTCGTTTAGAAAATATATATTTACTGTTTTATAAAAAGTTTTCTCATAAAACAGATTTCAGTGAATATTGCCAATTTATTAAAACTTCAAGTTTTTAAATGTATATGTTTGTAAATATATTTTGTATGTCTGGTTTGTTTTAGCCAGATTTTGGCTCAATCTTTTTTTCCGAATGGTGTTTATATTATGTTTTAATCGATTAGTATTACCTCTTCCTTTGTGGATTAAATTTGGGGAGAAAGAAATTATTACTGAATTGTAATTATGAATCACTCTATTCAAATATTAAGAATTTCAAGGCTATCAAAACTTATAATTTCAAACTTTGATATTTTTGGCTTGCCTTTTTTTAAATGATGCTTACAATATTGATTTTTATATCCATCTTTAGCTTACTATACGGCTCAAAAAAAAAGTTTGTGTTTGGCTGTCGGATAATTAATATGCAATAATGTGTTAATTATTTTACATCAGTATATGGGTTTTACCAGATTTAAATTATTTGCTCACAATTATGTTAACAGTAATATATCTACATAAGAAACATACTATTTAGACGACAATTATTTCTCCTAAAAATTAGGATCTCTGCAAATTAAAATCTTAAGAAAATTGTGAATTTTTTACTGGCTTTAGTTCCATATCACATTTTTTTTTTTTCATTAGATAATGGTTGTGATTGTTTTTTTTTTTTTTNTTTTTTTTTGTTTTTTTTTTTTTTTTTTTCCTTTAGTGATATTAATTTAGACAGTTCCACAGTTAAAATTAAATTCAAATCACCCACTAGTTGTAGTGTTTTCTGCCTCAATTTGAGATTTTCTTTTTAGCTTTTTTTTCATTATACATATTTTTTATATACTTCATTTCTGCCAATTGGCGTAGTTCTGTTCTCTTAATTTTTTTTTAATTGCTTATAAAAAAAATTTGATTAATTAGCTTATAAAAATTAGATTTCTTAATTTAATATCTCGACTTAACTTGCATACTTGTGTGTGTAAGTTATTTGGTAATTTGTTTAGTTGGTAACTTACAGGCAGTAGTTGATACTTTTTAAAGAAAGATTGCTTTAATTAGAGTAAAAATAATTTTTTTTTTAAGTAATATATAAATCAAAGAAAAGATAAGTATATACAACTGTATTGTAATAATTTTTGTTAACTTTATAAAAAGGTAATCTGACATATCATTCTTAAATACTAGTTTTAATAAATTTTATCTAGTAAGAGATTTTCTTAGACTCTGTTGTGTAATTCCTGTAAACACATCAGAATTTTTTTAAGAGTGTTCAAGAAATTTGTGTATGTGATTTTTGAAAATTTATCTGATATGCTGGTGGCAGCATTGTTATTGGAAAAAGATTTTTCACTTGCAGTATTTTTCTTATGAAAATTTTGTAATTTTTAATGATGCATACTTAAAATTTTATTTAAATTGTAAATTTGGTACAGTAAGCAAATTAGTTTTTAAACACTCCTGCTTTGGTCTTGATACATGGGTTTTCTTTTTTTCTCCTTATGATGTGCTGTATAATTTTATAGCTATGCATTGGACGAGTCTCAGGCTTTAGCATTTTTTTTTCTTTCTTTTTCTCAACATGTCGTTCTTTTGAGAAGAATTTGACTGTATTGACCGCCAGGCTGTATAATGTAAATAAGATGAATCTGGTTATTGGTTGATACTGTTTATTTGAAATAAAATTATTGCAATGATCGCCTTTTTCTTTTATGTGTATGTCCAAGGTGGGTGAAATCACTGCAGATAAACTAACAAGAGTAAAAATTAATTAAATTTATGCAGCTCAAAAATCTTCAAAACCCTAACATATTAAAAATAATAATAATCTATCTGGTTGAAAACTTGTGTACCTTTCTGTTCATCATCCTGGTGCTTCCGGCCCTTTGAGTGATTATTACAGTGAACTCTCACTTATGCACCTGTGTAAGGGGCCAAAAAAAAGCGCATAAGTGAAAAATTTCAAAATTCTATAATGCAAAGTAAATTGCAGTGACAATATGAATAAATATGTTTCTAAAGATAAAATGTTAATATTTATACTGTTTTGGTATTTACTATAATTATACAAAGAAAAAAATTATCATAGCTTAAGACAAATTATTTTCTTACAAAAAAATCATAATACATGTTTGCATTTGTTTTTGACGACGTATTTCAAAAACAGTTTTTTTTTCAGTTCATATAAATGTGATAAGGGGGAGTTTCAGAAGCAAAATTAAATTGTAAATAGTCACGAATAGTGTCTAAAGCTTCTAATATTGCTGTGTGATTTGGAGGAACTTTATCATCCTCGTCACTATCATCAAAAAATTTGAGTTTTATGGGAGAGGGTGAAACATCACATGATAAATTTTAAGAAAAGTACTAAACGTCATAATATGCTTCTCAATAAGTTGAACCTCCTCTTATTTACTCATGATGTCTATCTGACTGCAAGTAAGTGATTGCGGTCTCTTTCATCTTTCGTATTCCAGGTGTCTTCTTTTTCTACAAAACAGCATGGGAGTAAAACTGACCCCTGGACAAGAGGAATGGTCATTTTCTTAAAGATGAATGGGCTTTCATTGTTGTTGGTGCAACAGATAAGACACACTATTCAAAATTCTAGAAAGAATGTCTTTCCAGAAACAGCAATAATGAAAAGGTCACAGGGGGAAGAAAATTCAATGGGATATAACAACATATATTTCTTTTTATCTGTAACAAGGATTGCTTATTAGCCTCATTTTCAATTTAAAACATTTTATTTTAGAAAGAGAAAAAAAATATTTAAAAGATAAAAAAATTAAAATGCTAGCCTAGAATTTCGGCGCATAATTGAAAAATTTATTTTTAGAGCGACGCATAAACGAAGAATGTTTACCATTATTTTCATACCTTATGTACTGGGACCTGTAAAAATCGTCGCATAAATGAAAAAGGTGCATAAAAAAGGTGGTGCATAAGTGAGAGGTCACTGTATTACAATATTACTATGCATTATTATAACATTAACCTACCATATATATTTACATGGAGTCAAGACTAAATTCGAATCCCCGCGAATCTTCTACAAATAAACCATTATGTACATTCTGTGCAAAGCGAACAGTTTTATTTGTAGGGTATTCATGCACCTGGAAAGTCATGAATTTCGGTATTTAAAAAAGGAGTCATGGATTTAGGTCACCAAAAATTATAATTTTTAAAATGGAATGACCCCCTCTAATCTTTTGGTGTTCCGAATATCTGAATTTGTAACAAAATCCCCACTCACAGTCATATTTTATTAAAATATAAAATGTTTTTATCATGTTCTTTAAAAGTTATGGTTTTCTTTCAAATAATGAAAGAAAAAACATTTTTAGAGCAAATTATCTTCTGCGATTTTAAAATTTTTGTTATTTTCATCAATTTAAAATTCTAACTGCAGCAAGCCAGTCATTGGCGAATTTTAATTTATTCGGAAATGAGATCAGAAAAATCAGGAGTATTTGTTTTCTTTTCGGATGAAGAAGAAAAGTATCTAGAATATAATTCTGCAGAGAAAAAGAACAAAAAATATTTGCTTTTGTATTTTTTTCAGCTATTTTATTCAACTCTTTCTTTACTCTGTTTTTTAAATTTAAAATCTATATTTATAGATTTTAAATTTAAAAAACAGTAAAGAATGAGTAATGAAGATGATGAGCATAACAGTTTTGTTTATACCTATCATTTCGATTAATGTTAATATAATGCTTTTTTAAAATTATTGTTGTGTTTTTGTCGGAGAAAAGAGTCAAATTTGTTATGCCATGAAAAATTCTTGGTATTAGTCATGAAAAGTCATGGATTTGAAAATCTAAAATTTAGCAGATACCCTGTATTTGCTCTGAAACGTTATTTTCTCTTTACAAACTGGACACTACTTTTTCTAAAATGGAAAAAAACTTTTTCTGCTTTAACTTGCAAGGAAAAAACCTTTTCGCCGTTTTTAAAGCACATATATTATTGCTTTATCCATAACTAAAAATATTGTCAAGCTATTTCACTACAAAAGAATTGATCTTTCGCCTGTCACCTTTCCTTATCTTTGCAAAGAGAGGAGAGAAAATGATACTGATCTAGTTAAACAATTTGAACAGTGGCATCTTTTCATCTGGGCAACTTAAATGCTTTTTCCCCCACTGAAAATCCCTTTCATTTTCTTATCAATTTTAAGACTATTTAACACAGCAGGGGTTAAAAAAAAATATCTGAGTTGTTCATATCAACGAAATATTCAGGCACTTGTTAAATGATCAATTGTAAATAATCAACTCCAGGGATTCTCATGCCTTACAGGTATGCATTGTTTTTTTTTTCTGTGCATCTTGGGAGGTTTACTTTCAAGGAGGTGTTAACCAAGTTTCTTATCAAGTGATAGGTGTTACATACCCTCCAACTTATGAAGATTTTGAAAATAATTCTTTCTAGTGGTAGCGAACCAAAGTAGAAATTTTTAAAGCAAATGGATCTCTCATAAAACTTTTATCAGAACTTAAGAATCTAGCCATATGGCCTGCACTTTTATAAGTAATAGTGGACAAGTTACGCTAAAATTAAATTTTTTTAAATATTAAGACTTTAATTTTGCTACCGTCTGAAAAGAAGATTTCTGAAACTACGGAAATTCCGTAGCAGTTGGAGGGTATGGGTGTTAGGGGGTGTTAACTTAATAATTGAAAGGACCAAAACTCTCCTATTCGGTATCATATAACTAACTTGAATATCTAACTTATAGGAAAATTATATTCATTTATCTGTATCTACATCTAGAATTATGTATTTATAACTAATTTTTTCATACATCCTTTTTTGTATAGAAAAAATATTTTTTAAAGTTGAAATAAATATCCTTGAAACCAACTTCGTTTTTAAGGTATCCTTCCCATTAACGGACAATTTTTTCAGTCCTAAGAATATCCACTGAACCGAGGTTTCACTGCATTTAGCTTTTTTTTTTTCATTTGAATTTAATGAGAACAAACAAGAGTGAATAAGATATAAATTTTTCATATGTTGCAATACTTTTTATATATTTATGACCTTAAAGAACACATACTAAGAGGTGGGTATAAAACAGTTTATGCTAGATAAAGCCCCCTTTTTTTTTGTTTGATGAGTTTGATCCTATTTTTGCTGTTCAAACCATGTCAAAACTTTACTTCCTACTGTGTTTAAATCTGTTTTTTTCTCAACAGCCTGATAATTATAATTATTTAAAATTGATGTGACAATTTTTGATAATTGGACTGAGATGCACAGGACTGTTTCTATTGATGCCTTAACAATTACTTCACATTTTGATTAAATTACAACGAAAGTCCAAATTTTTAATTTTACCTTGATGGGTACAGAAAAAACATTAAAAATTCTATAATTAGTAATGACAGGGTGCGTTTTAAAGGTGCTTTTAAAAAGTGCTTTAATTTTCCCTTTTTCAAAATTACATTTTTCCTTAACCATGTTTATTTTTGCCATGAATTATACAAAAAGACACAGTTCACATTGTTCTATTCAACGTTTTTACAATGAATTCAACCCCAATCTATTTCAACCTATGAAAACGTCATTTGTTTTACATGATTTAAAATTTCATGATTTTTGACAATAGTCAAAAACAATGTCAATTTTTTTTTTTTTTTTTTTNTTTTTTTTTTTTCCTTTTTTTTTTTTTTTTTTTTTTGACAATAAAAAAAATAAAACCGTCAATTATCAAAAACATTCCAAACCCTGTGCTTAAAAAAATTTTTTGAGTGCTTAAAAGGTGCTTATTTTTTTTTTGAATAATTTGGCTACACACCCTGAATGAAACTTGAACTTACAATCACTAAGAATTGTATAAACTTAAGCTCTTAAAATTTGCCGATGGCCCATATAATTACTTCTGCAGTTTAAGTTTAATAATGTTGACAAAAATAAAAATTGAATTTTGGTTTGATGTTTGTAGTTTAATGTAGTGGGTTTCAAAAAGTGCAGGAAGTTAAGATTTGACTAAAACAAAAAGTTAGGATTTCATAATGAAATTAGACTTACCACTATTATTCCACAGGTCAGAAAAAACCTGGAATTGTCACAACTCTAAGAAACAGGGAAAGTTAAAAAAATTTACGAAAAACCTGGAAAAGAGCCATTCTTAGAATTGGCAGTTATTAAGATTAGAGTTCTATAAAACAATTGTGATAAATGTTAGAATTATTTAATTCCTCTTTTTATAGAAACTTTTCCCTGTTTCCATTCTCATTCCATAATATATTTTTGCTCACAAAATCTAATATTCGACATTACACATAATAAGAAATTGCATTGGTAAGATATGGTATGGATTTTCATAATTGAGTGGTAACCTGTATTCTGTTGCATATAAATGAACAAACAAGAGAGACTGTTTAAGAATATATGTTTAATAAGATAATCTTTACATCTCATTGTATAAAGGGTTTATTCCACATCAAACCCATTAACTTTAAAATGCTTTTGTAACTTAACTATTGAATTTCACCAAGAAAACAGCTTCAAATTGTCTTTTAAAAAGTCAATTTTAATTTACAATAATTTTTCAAAACTTGATATAAGCTTTAAAAAAAATTTATTATAATAACTAACTATAAAGCGTCATAAAAAATAAAACTTTTCACACCCATATAAATTCTAAGAAAAATTTGCTATGTAATAACTGATATGGAATGCCCCTTGAACAAATCGTCAATAAATGCATATTCCCTTAATGTGTTCCTCAATAGGTTGCAACCAATGAACAACTGAATAATTTCACATAATTAAACTTCGTATTAAATTAAGAATATGCTCTCAAATAAATTGAGCAATTCGATGCTGTTAGTAACGAATGAAAAGTCTGTGCACTAAAATATAAAAATTATTTGCACTAAATCAAATGTGTACATTTATAATACACTTTTATCATTAAGAAACAGATTAAAAATTTTGAAGAAAAAATATATATTTAATGGTAACAACAAAGAACATTCAAAATATTATTATAAATATATATTCAATTAAAATCTGTTATGAAACAATATTTCAAAATAGTTGAATTACATGTATTCAATTACTCATAAATCTAATTACAATTGAAAAGCTGAATGGATAAAGATCATTTGAGTAAATGGTGTTCTTTCTGGTTTGATTTGATTTCTGAATCGTGAACTTGCGAACCACTCATTTTAACTGCTTTCGTACCCACTCTTGTTTCTCTATTTTACAACAGAGAACCATTCTACTGTCAAGCCCATCACAAGAGCTCTTTTGGACTGAAAATCTGAGGTTGTAAACAGGGCAAATTTAGGAAGAATTTTTAATAACTCGATCTATTTCAAAAAGTGAAAGTTCTAAACAATTTTTTTAAAAAAGAGTATTGATATTATTAGCATAGCATTTCTTAAAATATGGTCAACAATACAAGGTTTATTTTTAAAGGGAATGTATCTTGACTTCTCCAAGTAGATTTATGTAAGCATTGTATGGAACATTTTGAATCAATAATGCAACATAAAATGTGTATTAATTAACATAAAATTTATTTGTTACAAAATAATTGTAATCATAATGATGAAATTATATTACTTGTAAATATCTGCAATAAATTGGAAGAAGAAATTAATTCGAAAAAAACTTCTTAACCTATTGCTATTTGAATATACAGAGGATTACTACAGCTTTTCTGAGTTATTAATAATATGAAAGTACACGTATCAGTGCGAACAAATTTTATATATTTAAGTCGGGGGTGTTTGTATTTTGGGTTTTTCGTATTATCCATCCAGGTCTAGAATCTAGTAGCAAGGCATGTGATTTTTTCGTAGAGTTCTGCATCACTGATTTGCCGATTTGCACGAATCTGAACTTATAATCAGACTAAAATTTCACTGCAATTTCAAATTTAAAGTAAGAATTAAAACTTCATTCGTTTACAATCTAGAATTTATATTTTGAAGCCTTCGCTGATTCCCATTAACAAGATTTTTTCAAACTAGACTCCTCTGCAATTATAATTTTTGGTTTGTCGGATTTTCATAGTTTTTAATGTTTGACACTATGCCGGAACCTCCAATATCGAGATTCATATTCACGTAATTTTAATATCTACCTAATTTAAAAATCGTACATCGAGATTAATATTTTTGCATTTTTAACATCCAATATCGTGATTAACCATATTATGAATAGTGTATAAATTGATATTGTATAGAGTTTTTACGCATAAAATTTTCAATTTGTATCACAATCACCCCTGTTAAGTGTTAACCATTAATTATGGAAACTAAAGTATAACTAGTTTCTATGGGGAAGAATTTAACAAATAACACAAACCTCCTAATGATTCACCCAACACTGGAAGAGTTCTCGTGCTAACTAGATAGTTAACTTATTGTCGACAAAATAATAAATAAGATCTTTGGACAAGAAATAAGTTTTTTTTAAGGTGTATCATCTTCCATCAAGCTTTTCAATTATTAACAATATGATTGTAAGTTACATTTTGTTTTGCAAGAGAAACTATAGTAAGAAATATTTAATTCAGTATTGAAATAAATTGATAACTTTTTTTTTAACATGCTCATTTCATATCCTAGAAAAATTATAATTTAAACCATAATTGGTTCTTCTCCTTAAAACATAAATTATATTTTTAATGGCTGATTTGCAAAATTTGTGCATATCACAGTTATGCAAAACTGTTGAAAGACACTACCAGTAAAAAGAAATTATTTTTAATATTAATTTTAAAAAAAGTTAGTTCAAAAGCTTTATAGAAAAGATTCACAGATTTCAAGAGTTCATTTACTGGGAAACGAAAGAATATAAATAATATGATTATGAAATATAAATACAAAATGATTATGAAGATTGTAATCAAAAATCTTAATGTGTGCGAAATCAATGAGAATTTTATGAATTAGATTTCACAAAGAATTTCAAGGTGTTCATGTTTGGAAGAAAAGATTCCTTTTTTTTTTTTATTATAGCTATACAATGTGCACAACTGCCAACTCTACTGGATTTTGCCAGTTTCTAAACATTTTAGAAAATTCCCTATTGAAATAGAATTTTTGTCCTGATTATTGCTTGAATATTTAAATAAGTATTACTGATACATAAAGTGAATCTCATTTGTAGAATTTATTTCAGTACTCTCTTAGTTAATTTAAAAAATCTTTTCTGCCTAATAATATTCAAATTTAAAGTAAACATAATACATAACATTTCAAATATGTTTGATGTCAATCGTAACTGGAAAATATTGCAGCTTTCCTATTTTCATGACTATAAAAATCTCTAAATTCCATACGTGTAAAATATTTAGTACATTATGCAACAATTATCATTAAATTTATATTATTTCGTAAAATTTCTGGATTTTTTTTCTTATCCTTGTTGGCAGTATACCTTTAAATATAACTTTAAAAGAAAAAAAATATTCTTTGAATAATGTTTTTGTTACACAAAAATTAATCACACCCTGGCAAGAAAAGTGGCACAAGTCAAAAAATGGCAATTTTGAGGTTATGAAGTGCCCCATCAAGCTCAAAAAGTGTCATCTCTAGATTGTGCTATTTCAGAATAAGTTTTATAGTTTTATTTAAGTTTATTTTTCTCAAATGCTGTTCTTTTACTTGTATCACTTTTCTTGCCGGCGTGCGATATTTTAAAAACATTAAAACTAATTTGAGTTTGTAGGTAACATATAGATGAAATTTATTATATTTGAAGGTTTTTCTCTCTAAATGCATGGTTTAATTACATTTTCAGACTTTTTCTTATTGAAATAGTAAAATATGCAACAAAATCCTGTTAAAATACTTGTCCATTAGCTGATGACAGTTACCTGATTACAATCACGATAAAATTATATCAGGTCTAATAAATATTATAAATATTTTCTAAAAACTTAAATTTTAATACAGAAAATAAGATTTCTTTTTTTAAATAAAGTTTTGCCAACAGTCTTATTAGATGGGATAGCTTTCTTTTAGCTTCCACAGATCCAATAATAAATATAGTTTGTATTACAAATCATATCACAGTAAAATAAAGATTTGTAATTCTATATCTTTTTTTAAAAATTTTTTACAAAAAAAACTTCCCTGTAAGTATCGGAGTGCATAAAGTTAAGCCTTCTTTGGTGGACCTTGTTTCCCATACAGACTATCTAATGTCAATCCTGAAAAAATAAGGAATCTATTAAATATATATAAAAGTCAGGCAAAAAAAAAATAATAAATTAAAAAGAAACTGGAGAAAAATAACTAAAAATTTAAGAAAAAGGCATTATAAACATTTGAAGAAGAATAAAGAAATCCTGGGAAAAGAAAAATAAATGGCGTCAGAAGAAAGTCATGAATATTAAAAAAAAAAAAAAAAATTTGGAAAAGAAATAAAAATTTGGATAATTTCCAAACATAAATTCAGGAGAACTCATCTCCTGATTGTCAAATAGTCATGACAAATTAAAAAATTGTATACGATGAATTTACTTCTAAAAACAGCTACTTATCTTTGCATCTTTCTTTTCTAATATGCCCCTTTTACATGCTTTTAATATTTCTAATTTTTTACAATCACCAGCACTATTGTTAATTATAACTACATCCTGGTAAGTATCAATTATTTTACTTTCACAAAATTAGCAAGTTCATTACAATCCTTACATTTCTCTTTCTTAAGAGATGCATGATTAAGGAAACTTCTTCAAAAACATAGGAATCTCTAATGAAGGCTTCAAGAGATATTTCGTGAAATTATTTAAGATTTTAGAGATTCAAAATTATTCAATAAAACATTTTAAAATTTTCAGAAACTAGGAAAAATAATTTTTAGTGAAAATAAAATATTTTGCTAAACTTGGGTCTCAAACACCCTTAATTTAAAGATTGCTAAGATTAAGGGTCTCCAAAAAAATTTATAGGTTAATGAAAGTTTTAGTTTTACTATTATTAACATAAAAAATACATAATCAAGTTTTTTTCCTCACGATATTTAAAAATTCGTGTTAATCGAATTTTTTGTTGTAGCGATGTGACTGTATCTATTACTTACCTGCAAAGACTAGGAGGGTTCCGAGCCACTGACGACCAATTAAAGTGTTCCCAAAGAAAAATACAGAACCTAAAACTGTGAAAAACTTTCTGGTGGTAGTTATGATGGAGCAAACGAGTGGTCCAAAGTCACTTACAACCAGAAATAGAAATATCTATAAGGATAATATAAATATTAGTTTATATAACATGAAATAATACTGTTAATAATCATTTGTTACCTTTCATATAAATATTAATTTATAATCATTTCTTTCATATACTTGGAGGTTCTACTCAATTTCAATTTATTTATCTAACTGTTGAGTTAAATAATTGAATAATATTAAGAAATTTAAAAGAAACCAATCAATTATACCACTAAAAAAAAAAAAAGACTGCAGACAAACAACTAGAATGCAATGTACGTAAGGTGGAAATTTTTGTTAACTTTACTAGTTTTGAATCTTTAAGTCTAAGAATCAAATAATTAGTTGTTAAGTGACGTTGATTTCAGTTAAGTTGTCGAAGATTTATGCAATAAAAGTGGCAAATAAATAATGCAATAAAAGTAGAGGATTAAAAAAGCACCAAATCAAAGACTCCATAAGCAATAAAAGTTTTTTAAAAAACATTTTACTAAGCTTACACAAGAACAAAAGAAATTTATTTGGTAATACTTATTTTCAGCTACAATAAATTTAATGAAATAAATTAAGAAAATATAATAAACAGAGCTATTTTTGATTTGCATTCTATGAGTAAAAATATTAGTTAAAGAGTGCTTTAAATTTAATGAAGGATTAAAATAAATAATTTTAGAAGGTATAAGTGTTTTTATATGCTTGTCAAAGAAAAAGTCAGAAAATCAACAAGACCACTATATAGAAATAAAAGTTAAACGAGGAAATTATTCTATTATATTTAGAATAAATTAAGGAAATATAATAAAAATAATTGTTAATAATAAGTTAGAGAGTGACAATGTTTCAAGTTTAGTTACCTAATAAGATTAAGTAATTTAATGACATTGACGAATTTAAAAGGTATATATTTAAATAGTTTCATAAGTTAGTCAAAAAAAATATAAAAAGTAGATTTGAAGAAAGTTTTTTTTGTTTAGATCTAAAAGTAAAGAAAAGAAAAGTATCTAGTAAAAAATCTAACTAACGCAAAAACCGAATTAACTTTTATGGGAATAAACAATGAAAATCGCAGCTTAGAAATTTCTGTCATCAAGATAAACTAAACAATAGAAATAAAACCTTTAAAATTATTTGTTTAATAATTTTTTAGGAGTTTCAAAAGTTATACAAACCAAAATTGATAAATCTGTTATTAGTTTTAATGCTCAAATTTTTTCTTTCTATAAATATTTAAATGTCCATATGTAAAATGATCTCTAACGTTGTTTCTCATCCATCGGTCTGCAAATAATGTTACTGTAAAGATGATATTTATTCAATATCAAATACAATAAAGATTTTTTTTCATTTCAGAGAGAATGTGAATGATCCGAAACAAACAAGTGTCACAATTATGCCAATGGTTGAAAATCTTATTGGTCCATGATAAAATACTGAAATATTTTACTAGTCCTTCAAGTATATCAGATTAAGAAATATAAAATGCAAAGCCTAACATTTTAATGTTTGCATTATAAATATCTTCTATATGTGGAAAAAGAAGTTCTTTTAATAGAAAATTTTTTAATGATCTCTAAAATGTTCCTTAGGTTTATACAAGTAAACACTGTTTCATAGCAAAAAATGAAAGGTTCAATTCATACCCAGAAGAAAGGGGACTACACTAAAATGTTGATATACACACCTGACCAATAGCACTCATCAATGAAAAATTGAGCATGTTAAAAATGATGTAAGGATATTTCTCCACAAATGCAAGAAAACTCCAAATTTCACTGGTCACTAAAACAACTAAAATTAAATATGTAGTTGTAAATAGTGTGGATTTACATATGCTAAAAGAAATACACAATAATATGTAAATAAAGTTTAATTAAAATACTAATTCTGCCTTAGAATGTGAAAAAGACTATAATTTGTCACCCAATAAGTGCCTTTGTGAATGTTATTTTTTAAAAAACAAAAGTAAATATAATTTTAATAAAATTTTATTTTCATTATACATTATTTTTTTTAAAAACAAATGTTTATAAATGCAATGCTGTCAACATCAGGACTTTTAAAGAAATTTTCTCTTAATAGAAGTGAAAAAATATTCACTTTGATAATTGTAATCAGAAATTTGTTAGTATTTAAATTTCTAATCAAATGACTTTCAGACTTTTTATGTTCAAATTCTTTTTGCATACAAAGTAGTGAACATTAAGTTTATTAAATCAAGAATAAAGTATCAAAACTTTTTTTGTCACTTTAAAATATAAAAATTAAATGTTTTTTTTAATAACCGTCCTTGAACAGGCGACCCAATTTTGGGCTTACGACTACTAATGTTCAACTCCGCAGCCTTGTAAGTTTGAACCAATCCAGAAGACAAGGAAACTAATGGATAAGTACCCCCAGAGGTATGATTTGTTATGGGAACATGGAGAACTTTGTTACCCGATTGACTTAATGTGCAGAATGACTTAATGTTTCAAATCAAGTAACAGATACAGCATAACAAATGTTTTGAAACAGTCTTTAAAATTAAAATTGCAAACAATAATCAACATAAGCAGGGTACCTACCCAAATTTTAAACAAAAAGTAAGCACTCAAAAAATATTTTTAAGCACTATATTTATTAACAAAATGTAAAATAACTACTTTCTGACAAAGAACTCTTTTTCTTGATTATATTAGCCACTATAAAAAGATCAAGAGATTTTTCGGTTTAAAAAATGAGGGTGAAAAATGAAGTCTGAAATCGAAAACATCGAGCAAAAAGCAGCAGAGTTGCACATGAAAGTGCTAGAATTTCACAGAACTGAACTTAGTAGACGCACATGCGGACTTCAACAACATTTAATCAAACATGTAACCCCTTTCACACGCTATGAACCCACAGTAGGTCGATATGAACTGTAACAACATTGAACAATGAGAAAAGCACGCTTTTGCATAACACCCGGCGAAAATCGACATGGTAACGAAAAAAAAATAATCGCATTTTTGAAAAAGGAAAATAAAGCATTTCTTAAATACACCCAATGAAAAAGCACCTCTAAGGGCTTTTAGAAAACAAAAATCGAGAATAACCACTTTTTAAAAAAGCTATGCAGCATGATAAAATATCTTTAATTTCTAACTCAGAGTTAAAGGGTTAATATAAACTACATTTATAATCAAACACTTGTGTTCTGCTGCAAGTTTTGAGCACTTTATAATGGTCCTTACCTATGCCTAGTATAAGAACAGACCACATATTCATGCTGTACATCATGTGACATGATTTTGGTTGATATTCGGCTCTCATCCTATCTTGGATAGCACCTGTAAATCCATCCAATATCAAAGATGCAATCTAAAACCAATAGAAATCATTTTAATTACACTTGAACCTTACATACTACACAAATACTAAGACCTTACACACTACATTTCATTAAAATTTTTATTTTTACAAAAATTAATGTTATTTTAACATTTAACTGAATATATAACACATATTCTTTTTTTTTTCTGTTTAAGGTGTAGGTATGGATGTTTTCCACATTAGGGAGCGCTACAAGCTCTTTATTGCTGTGGTGTATCTACCACTACAAAAATACAATTCCAATTCACTAGTATATAAGATATGTTAACTCGATTCTATGGTGGGATACCTTTTCATAGATGAAGCTTGACATGGTTGACATCTGCTCTCCCCACAACTGCCTATACTTCTGGTTTATTATTTTTGGTGTGTTTTGAAACCATTTGGCTCACAACGTAATGTTTTAAAACTCTCTTGAGTATATTTCGTGTGCATTTGTTACCTGAAACCTTTTGACCTTTGTTACTTGTCAATTATAGACAAGCCTCTCACAATTAAAAATCCCAGTCAATCTGACGAGGAATGACAGATATAAATATTGGCAGCAGAGGTAAAAACTAAAAAAATTTAGTTGCTGGTCCAAATGACCTTTAACTAAACAGTTTAACTAGCCAAGACAAACTTCAACTGGTCTGTTCACAATTCTCTGTTAAAAATTACTTTAAAAATTTATTACTAAAAATAATTTTACACTATAATTTTAATAATTAATTTTTATATAATTTTATAATGTAAACACAATATTCAGATTTTTGCAAACAAATTAAAAAATGCAGATAAATATAAATCAAAAATTTATTATGTTTTAATAATTTGATTGAATATTTATAATAATTAGGCCATTATATTAAAAATTATATACATCAAAGTTAGATTTAAAAAAATATGCAATGTTTAAAATTCCGATAAAATATGCTACTTTCAGACTAACTGCTCCGAAGGACCACTAAGGATTATCCCCAAAGTCAGGTTTTAATTTTAGAAGACTTACAGATGCGTTCATTTCAAGCACTGGACACTATATTGACCGTTTGACAGCCAATATATTAAAATTTTGCCTTTTATTTAGTCTCACAACAAAAGTTGCAATACCAAATTCCATGTATAATCAATAGTTAAATTGGTTTTATCAATAATGGTAAAATTAACACTAATAGGCAATAAATTTGCAAACACACAATAGTAAGTAACAAACCAGCAACATTTCTCCTATTCCTAAAAGCGAGCTCTCTGCAACATCAGCAGATGATGGTTTGTCTTTGTACATGAAGATGCAGATACCAACAACAATCATAAACACAAAGAGATACTTCTGAAGGGTGTATTTCTTTTTACCAATCAGAACACCCATAATCATCACAGGTATAGGTTTACATGATTTGCCAACAACCTAAAAATGCAATTAAGGTATACTAAAAATTTATCTGTAAGTTAGAATACAAAAAAAAAAAGATACATAAAATTAAAACCAGTTAGAAACAACAAAAAGCAATTATACATAGTTATCACAGACAAATGAGATAATGAAAGTTTTTACTTCAAGAAATGTTTTTTCAAAACCAACTAAATAATAGTTTAGTCTGTATTTATTACTACAGTACAGAACCCGTTATCCGGAAATCAGAAAACCGGAAAACCAAAAAACCGGAACGAAATTCGATAAATTTTCCCGCCATTTAAAAAAAATTTTTTTTTTTCCTCATAAGATTTTAGGATTTTTCTTTCTTTTTTGAAAGATGTTCACCTTACCATCATTTTGGAAATAATCATTAGTGTATTACTTCATCGTTTTTTCTTGTTTTTAAGATTGCTTCCAAAAATTTTTATTTTTTAGTTGGGTTTAACAATAAAAAAACGGCTTTTTGTAGCGATTCAGAAATCCGGAAAAATCAGTTATCCGGAATAGTGATGGTCCCGATCGTTCCGGATAATCGGTTCCCTACTGTATTTTCAATTCTGAACTTAAAAGCCAGTTCTTTTTAATCGAAGGGAAAGGGAAATTTTTAAAGTTCGGTACGTTGGAGGTTTAATAAAACAGAATTGAACTAAAATTTACAATCGCAATAATATAAATTTTAAAAAAAAAAGATTGTTAATTTTGTTTTCTCATGCTTATACAGTTTTAAAAGGCAATGTTTGACAATAAACAATTATACAAAGTTAACAAAGACAAACAGGATTATGAAAGTTTTTAATTCAAGAAATGTTATAAAATTTCATGAAATTTTTAAAATTAAATAAATAATTTTTTAATCTGTATTTGAGTACTTTCAATTCTAGACTTAAAAGGCAGTTTTTTCAGTAGAAAGGAACGGGAAGATCTGTACATTGGAGGCTTAATAAAACAGAATTTGCAATAACAATAAGATAAACTTAAATAAAAATTATTATTAATTTTTTTCTCATGCATATCCATTTTTAAAAGACAATGTTGGAACAGAAACAATAATACAAAATTATCACAGACAAACAGGACTATTAAAGTTTTCATTTCAAGAAATACTTTTTAAAACCAAATAAATAATTATTTAGTCTCTATTTATGAATACTTTCAATTCTAAACTCAGAAGTCAGTTTTTTAAACTGAAGGGAAAGGGAAGTTTTAAAGTTCTGTACATTGGAGATTTAGAAAGAAAAAAACCAGAATTGAAATAAAATTTTCAATACAATAAGATAAATTTAAATAAAAAAATTTGTTAATTTTTTTCTTCTCATGGTTATACATTTTTAAAAGACAATGTTTGAGGATAAAACAATTATACAAAGTTAACACAGATAAACAGGATTGTGAAAGTTTTAACTTCAAAAAACGTTTCTTAAAACCAAATAAATAGTTTTTCAGTCTGTATTTATAAATACTTTCACTTCTAAACTTAAAAGCCATTTTCTTTTTTAAAGTTTTTAAAGAAAGTTTTTATAGTTTTGTACATTGGAGATTTAATAAAACAGAATTGAAATAAATAAGCAAAAAGATAAATTTAAATAAAATAAAATTATTTTTTTCTCATACTTATGCCTTTTTAAAAGACAGTGTTGAATTACTATCAATTATATTAAGTTAACACAGACAAAAAGTGATAAACAGGTACAACAGAATGTAAACAGATATTAGTATGGATATGAAGTTGATTTTAATATTTATTTAATATATTAATATGTTTTTTTAAACTTATTTGCACTAGATGTTTTCAATTATTTAAATATAAATTAAAAACAATTCTAATGGAACTTTAAAAAACTAATATATACAAAAGAAACTATGTTTTATCATGTTTAAACTTTTTTCTTCAAACATCAATCATTACAAATTAAAACATATTTATTATTGCAGTTAAAAATATATTGAAAAGAATGAGGCAGATAAATACAAAAAAATCCTTTTAAATTAATAATAGCTTTGTTCAATTAATTGATAAAATGTGTTTACTTGAGTTGGATAATTGACATGTTCTAATGCCATATTACTAGTAACCATGCCACCTAAATATGACATTCCACAAGCAGCATAATAGATTTGTTTTGTATTATCTTCTCCTTGCTTCATAAAGGTATGCAACACTAAAAAAAAAATTTTGTTTTTAACAATACCAATAATCTAGATAATAACAAAAACAAAACTAACAATTATTATACGTACTAATTTTAGCAAATAGTGCATTGACAATACATTGTATAAAAACAAGAGTCGGTGTAAAGGTGAATTTTTCTCCATCGCCGTAAGTACTTCTGGTTCTAAAACAAAATTTAAAGATATTATATAAATATTACACACTGTTAAATTACTAAAATAAATAAATAAAATACTTAAAACTAATAAAACAATATAATCCTATAGATAGAAATAAAATAAAAATTACAATCACAAAATCATTTTCATTTCAATTGGAAAATTTCAGTAGAAATTTGTCTGCATCTATTTTTTCTTCGAAGAGTAAACTTGTAAATGGAAACTAATACAGAAATAAATAAAATAAAAATAAGGAATTCCACTTAAAAAGTAATGATCCCTCAATAGAATATTCAATTTTTTTTCATAGCTTCATATTTTTTAAGCATACAAAAATAGAACATATTTTTCCACACATACATTATTGAATGAGAAATACAAAAATATTGCAAAATAGGTTGTTTTACATAATAAGAGACAATAAAAACTGTAACAAAAGGTGTTAAAGTTGTAGGCCACAATTTAAATATTTAGTCATAAAAACTTGTGAAATAAAATGTAGCAAAATTACTCAATTAATCCTGACATTTTATTAGGTATTAAATTTAACATTTACAGTGATATTTTTAGTTGGATTAATTATATGTTATCCTCATTAATTAATTAATTAAGTTTGCTTGATAATAAATTAAACGTAAATAACAAAAAAAAGGGGTAAAGAAACTATGTTTTCAATATCTACCAAACAATGGAAAGGTAATTATCAGATCTGTATAATGCAATTCTATAAACTGCATTTCTTTATAAACCACATTAAACAATAAATATCACATTGAAGAACTTTCTGGAACTGTGCAACTGTTAAGGGGTAGCAAAACAAACATATTTGCTGAAATATTAATTGTTAACAGGTAGCAAAACAAAATCATTTGCTGTTAACTGTAATGCTGCTAACTGAGTGAGAAAACAAAATTATTTGAAAAAGATTAACTGTTAAGGTTGCAAAACAAAATTATTTGATAAAAGATTACAATTTCTGACACAAACAAAAATTTATACATAAATATTTTTGTTGTAAATTCTAATGCTCCTGTTTTTTTTTTTTTTTTTTTTTTTTTTTTTTTTTTTTTTAATAATTAGGAAATATTGAAGTGCATCTTTTTATATATTAAAATAAATTTGCATCTAAAAGCTATTTTAAAAATTTAAATATTGAACTGTTGTAGACATATATTATGATATTTATTAGGCAAACTTAATGTATGTGAAATTATCTATATAACACAAAATTTTACGTAATACAAGCTTTCGTGTTTCGAGGTTTACATTACAAAGATCTTAATTGTATTTAGGAAAAATTATTATAAAAGGAATGAATAATATGTAGCAAAACAATCCATACAGAAATTTTAGTTTTGAAAAGGTCATAAACTAGATGATTGTAATTTTTATTTTCCTTAAACACATCATTAAAGTTTTAAAAAGATTTTTAAATGGAAAGTCTTAAACTTAATTAAAGCAACTACTTATGAATACCACATTTGCTCTGCTGACCATAAACTATTTCATTTAAATATGTTAAATGTTCTGAAGAGAAATTATACATTCTAGAATTTTATTTCACTATGTAAGAGTAACATTTTCCAAAACATTTTTTTTTTTCTTTTTCTGATGAGTATAAACACTAAAAGGACTTTTTAAAACAAGACACTTTAGGCAAAAATGTACCTTTTTTAAGTAATATGTAGCAGTATAATAGTTTATTGATTAAATTGAACAGTAAGAATTGCAGATGAAAAGGAAATTACAAATACAAAAAACAAGCAGCAGAAATAAAGTTTTTTTTTAATTTAATTAATTCTTGAACAGTTAAAAATTTATTATAATGAAATACTGAAATGAAAAATTTATAATAAACATTTGAATCTTAAAAATTACAAATAAGGCAATGAATTATTCTTCAAAAAAATTTTTATAGAAGGAATTGAAAGTTAATAATCAAAAAGATTTAATAAATCAATTCAATAATATTTAACATTTTAAACTAATAATTAAATATTTACAATAAAAAAATATCCTATTCATTTATATATAATCAAGGTTTCTCAATGTATGAGAAGTGTTTTGTTTAGTATTTTAATCTATACATTAATATACATTTGATGTAAATATTCATATAAGATCAATACTTGCAGTTCTTTTTTTTTTACCAAAATATTTTGATAGATATAATTTAAAGATATAATTTATTTTGTAAACACAAAGTTTAGGGAAAAAAAGCTCTAACAGAAGTTACTGCATGTAAAATCAAGTTAATATAGTTATGAGTTAAATACATAAAATTATTGCTCACATTGAAAATAAATATAAAAAATAAATTTGGGACAGCTATGCAAAATGAATGTGTATAGATAACTGTGCGTTTCTTCTTAAAACACTGTTGCATTAACTATTATAATAATTTTTACAATTGTTTATTTTACTATGTACTTTTTTTTTAATAGCTAAATTCACGATTTCAAGTATTATGGTGCAAACTAAGCAATGAAAGCAATTAAAAAATTCAAATGGTTAAAGGAAAGAATCAAAAGAAATTTTAAATCATTGCAATAATAAAACAGATATTTAATGCAATTTATTGGTAAATACCTTCTACATGTATTTGCGTCCGTCACAAAATTTACGATTTTAACTGTTATGCCATATACCAATTAATAAAAATATATCTATGGTTACAGAAAATAACATGAAAGCTTAGATCTTCGAAATATAATAAAAAAGAAAACTAGTTTTTTGCACGAAAATAGTTTGAAGATAAATAATAAATTTGTGACAGCTATGAAAAATGAACATTTATTAATTATCACTGCGTGTTATTTTATAAAAATTGTTGTAATATTCATTACATATTTGTAAAATATATNTCCAACTATATATATATATATTTATTTATTTATTTCAAATGTACATTTATTAAATTTTTTTGCTGTATACCAATCAATGAAAATAGTCAAAGGAAATATTTATAGGAACTTTTTTACCATATATATAATAAAATAAACTAGTTTTTAATCAATTTTTCTGTAAAAATAGTAAAATTCATGATTTTAAATGTTATGTTATTGCTAGTACAATAAATAAAAACATTAAAAAGAAAATGCAATGTTCTTGAGAAATATTAAAAATAAATTTTAAATCATCGAAACAATAAAATAGAACTAGTTTTTTTTTAATGTAATTCTCCATAAATATTCATTTAAAAATTTGCAATTTGCCAGGTGTTCGTTCCATACCGGCAAACTAGTCTTTCACCGATTGGCCAGGTGCGTTGACCCGATGTAAACAATAAATAATGCTCACATTTTTTCCTGTAGAATCCCATAGTAAAAGTAACAAACGAAAATTCCAGTGGCACAGATTGCTAGTTTTTTTGTCGAAGCCATTTTTGATGGACTTATATCCAATAATATTACTGGATCATGCTTGTTTTCAGAGTCATTTAGCAATTTCGTCTGGTCCTCTTTCTTTCCGCTGACGATTACGATAGATTCTGGTTTCATATCGCGTTGATGCCACACACACTCTACGTAAAAGTTTGTTCGGCTCTGATGAGTTGGAAAAGAGTGCAGCAAGCTTGTGTGCTCCAAAACGATACTTATTAAATTTATAGCTCGTTTATGTGATTTTGATGTATTTCTTAATGCGGTTTTTTTTATATCAAATAATGTGTACATTCGACAAAAATTCTACAGTTTTGCTTAGTTCATGACGCTTTTATTCTAAATGGTTTTAAGGTACTGTCGAAAATAATTTTTTGATTTTAAATTTCAAAAAATCTTAAGAGGGGGACTATCCTTACTGTTATTAGAACTTTTCGTTATTAGACTTTATCTTCAGTGTTATTAGAGTTGTTTTTATCGGTATTTAACAATTTCAGCTATCAAACAATTACGCAACTTCTAGGTGTAATAACTAAGGAAGTAAAGGAAAAATACGGCGTGCAGGAAAAGACATTGAAGGGGTACTGACCATTTTGAAATCATATTAAAATATCGATTTTTATGCTAATTTTTTTAAAATTATTATTTTAAATTATTAATTTAAAAAAATTTATTCTATTAATTAAAAATGGAGCATGCTTCTATGATAGCAAAAAAAGGGTTAAAGAATCGAGATTATACGATTACACTCCCTCAAATACCACTCGGTACATAAAAAGTACTTAGAAAATAATTATTATGAACAAATGATATTTTTCTCGATGAAAATAATGATCTTCCACAGTTGCAATTCTGACGGGAAAACATAGTGGTGGAAAACTTGTTTCGCTTTAAAACAAATTTTTGGTAAAAACTCAATTTTTGAGACTTACCGAAATACAAATATTCATAACTTAACACATAACTTAAATTTCAATTTCCTTTACGTGTGAAAAAAGAATAGGCACAACCTGTACCCTAAATAAGAAAACTGGTCACCTGTCCAGCACAGCAATTGAGCGATACCCTACTAGTCTTTAAGAGAAGAACATTTCTAATTGGGAGTATGATCACCTCTAACAGTTAGACAACTATTGCAATACTGTTTACCAAGGGTGTCTATTCGATGGGATTATGGTCAGGGCAGGGCTCGAAAAAACTCAGAAATTTTACTCGTCCCCGAGGACGGCTTGTCCAACAATGTACCCGTCCTCCTTTGAAACTAATCCGTCACTTCTAAATAAATAAAAATATTATTTTTTCTTATTTATTACAAACATTTATATAAATTACACAATAAATTAGTAGCTGCTAGGATTACATTATACAGTAATAAAAGAAATACTAGGTTACTAATAGTAAAACCTAGTATTTCTTTTATGAAATTGCAGCGGCTGCTGCTTTTAAGCCAATTTCAAGCTAAACGCCGAAATGTGGCAAACTTACGTCGCCAGTTGGCGATAAGGACAATCACGATTGCAGACCTAACTGCACCTGTTTTTCTTCTCAGTTCGGTCTGTGACGACGCCTGTGTATATTACTGGGACAACCTGTCCGCCACGATGTTTAATCTAGAACTTAACTTGTAACCTTAATTGTTATCCTTTTATTAAATTTATTATTATTTAATTATGGCTGGCATTCTGTTAATTGTTTCTATTCTTAATCAACTTAATTACTCATTTTAGATCATCTCTCTATTTGAATATTATGTTTTTATTTTAGGAGTCGCGTTAACCTCCACGTGTCTCCTCAAAATAATTTAAATGACAAAGCTCAAGTTATCTGGAATGTCAATTTATCCGAGGGTACTGCGTTTTTTAAATGAATCAAATATGACGTTTGTCAGTTCTACAATCAAGCCTATGATTTAAAGAGGTTTCTGCACAGAAATCTGAAAGGGGTTTTCCATTTAGGTGGATGTTCATAATTGCGTTTAACGCTTACGGAATGTGTTTTTTTGTAAGTTCATTGCTGAAAAGTCCCTTTCAACTGCTGCAGTACTCCCAGACGGAAAAAACATCAATCCACCATGCGCAGTATGTTGCTGTACGAGATTTCTAGATTAGAGGGTCATTTTAGAAGTGAGCCGCTAGACTCTTGTAAGATAACAAAAATTGAAAGCGTATCACGAACATTAACGGGAAAATGGCCGTCCGCGCGGACGTCTGATTCGAGAAATTCGTTGTCCGCGGAAATTTTTGACCGTCGAGGACGGGCGGTTTTTCGAGCCCTGGGTCAGGGGTCACTACTAACCACTACAGTATGAATATCCTCCGATTGGAGGTATTTGTCCAGGTGAAACCATTCGTTTGGGACCGCTCAATTATTATGTAAACATATTTTTGGCACTTATGCATTCTCTCACCTCTTGTTATCAGATATAAGTAAACAACTTACCCCTTCCCATACTAGAGTTTTAAAAAAGAACAATACAATAGTCCCACCCTTTGTCTTAGGCTTTGGTTTTTACTGTATTAATCTAAATTTTAGAATTTCAAGATTAAACCTAGTTAAAAGGCATAACTTTGTGTAGAACAAAATTTAAGCTTTAATTTATTTTTTAAGACTTGAAACTCATCAGCGAAATATTTTTCAAACCTATTCTATCCCAAAGTTTAATTTTTACTTCATGTTTGAAGTTATTCCGAATGCAATTCTTTTCAAGATTTTTCTGCATTAAAAGAAGATTATAAAAGAATAGGAATTTCGGGTTTTGCGTAAGTATTGATCATACCCCTGCTCCAAGCTTGTAAGCAAATATACACAAATCAGAATAATCTCCCCCCCCCCTTCAGGTGCTTACGTAATTTTTTGATAAGTCCCTTTCTATTTCACTTTATCTACCATTGGTAATTAAAAATTTTAACTGTAGGAAAAAAAAAACAAAAAAAAACAGGTATATGAATTTTGGAATTTTTTTTCCTCCTCAAAATCCAAAAAATTTGCTTTTATCTCCTAAAATATTTTTCACCACTTTTTCAAAAATTGTAAACTTGTTTAAAAAAAATTTAAAAAAAAAATCTGCCTTAAAACTAGAAAAACAAACTAGTTTTTTTTTCTTCTTTTTTTTACAGCAATTTTTCCTATTATATTCTGCGCACAACAGATCATTTAATTTTAAAATAGTTAAGAAGTTATAAAAATTATCAGTCGCGCATTTTTTAAAAGTCTTTTCAGGTTTTTTGATGTAAAAATAAAAGTAATCGCATCAGCGTTTTTTAATTTTTAGCAGCCCCGCACTCTTATTTCTAAAGTTAAGAACCTTCCCCTTTTTATAAATGTTGAATCAGTTTTTTAATGAATACATTTTAAAAGTATCGTTTTAGGTCTTTTTTTTTTTTTTTTTTCGTTTTGTGAAATTCATTTATATTTTTTCGTAAGCAAAAAATTCGTGACAATCCTCTCGTTTTTTTTTTTTTTTTTCCTTTTTTTTGAGAACNTTTTTTTTTTTTTTTTTTTTTTTTTTTTTTTTTTTTTTTTTTTTTTTTTTTAAGATTGCATAGTAACGTGCTTTTCCTTTCTTTAAAAAAAAAATATTTGTTTATTTTAATTGTAGAACACGATATTAATATTTATGAAAATTAATGTAGGGAGATTTTTAATACTTCGTTTAATATGACCTTTACTTGCAGATCTGTTGTCTATGCTCTCATTCAAGACCAGTTCGTCACTTTGAAAGAATTCATCATGGTTCGTTATCAAACAGTAAAATTCATGAGTCCTAATTAAAATAAGCAGAAATAATCGATAAATACTGTAGTGTATCTACCACTACAAAAATATAATTCCAATTTATTAGTATATAAGACATGTTAACTCGATTTTATGTTGGGGTACCTTTTCATAGATGAAGGTTAACATTGTCGAAAGATACCAACCCCACATTGATGACCCGGACGTGATGTGGACACGCCTACCTTGGCAAAAACGCCCGCTACGATTTCAACACGTTTACTTCGATGGATGGTCAGTTGACTCGCACTTGTGACTGCGACATTGTCCTCCTCACGCTGTTGCTTCTCAGTCTCCATCACACACACAACGTATACACTCGACTGCTAGAGGCAACACAGGAGCGACCACGACCGTGAACATAATACAGCTCTCACAATCAACACTCAAAAAGTACGGTGATCTTAATACAGCTCTCCCGGCTTCTCACAAAACAACAGGGAATCAACTAGTGGTATACGTTCATCTATTTCTATCAGGTATAATTCTAGTGGAGGAGTACTGTAGTGTATCTACCACTAATAAAATATAATTCCAATTCACAGGTATATAAGACATGTTAACTCGATTCTATGGCCGAGGACCTTTTCATGGATGAAGGTTGACATTGCCGATAACTACCATTCCCACAAACATATTTATCCTTGTTTTTCTCAACTCTTTTTACCAGCAGTCTGCAGCTGCTCTTATTGCTTAAAAATATTTTTTTTATATCTTAGTTCCGTCCCGCAGATCGTTAAGACACGCAGATCACCGAAATCAAGCATCACTGGCTGCGGTCAGTGTGCGGGTGGGTGACCACTTGGATTAGTCTGCGTAGGGACCGAGGGTGTGCGGTATGGGTCCTCGTTAAACTGTTCTACCGTAAAGTGCTCGACTTCGCGTGCAGGTCGTCGGGCTACCGAAGCAGGGGTGCCATCCCCTCTGCTAAGGATCAAAATTGTGATGGGATTATGGGATGTCCCCCAGACCGTCGCCAATAGCCCTTTGTGCAGCTCCAGTGAGACGTAAATAAAATACCTACCATATCTTAGTTCCCTTAAATAACATTTTCTCTATTTCTCTCACAGCATGTGAACTTTTTAATGCCTCTTATAAACGGAAATCATCAACTCCTGTCTTTTCCCCTTTCTTGGCCTAAAGTGTTTTGTTCCGCTTTCAAACGGGAGTGTTTTGGTCACGTGATGTTGGTCACGTGATGTTATGTTTCTTTTTAGTTGAAATGAATTAATCATTAATTTTTTTTTATCTCATACACATTCTTGCAGGTTTATCTTGCCACACACTCAAATTGCTTTTTTTTATTTTCTTCAAATCTTCCAGGTTAAATAAATTCAATTGTCTCACCACATTATTGAGGATTAATTATGTACTTATTTTTTTCTAAATCATGATAAATTAAACCTTCATTTATATAATTCCCAGTGCATAGATTAATATTTAAAACTTTCAGACATTGTGAAACTTAAAATCTTTAATTGTATTTAATTTTAATGGTGGATAAAAATTTTGATTTATTTCTTAATTTGTTAATTTCATTTGTAAAATATTAAATGAAAGAAAAGCTTCATAAAAAATATTGATAAAAGTTATTTTACCATCCACTTTCTCTTCCAATTACAGTTTTAACATTTTGTTCATGTTACATGATTAAACACTTCATTCGCGTCAAAAATATATAAATAGAAAATAATAGTTACAAGTGCTCAAAAAAATAGGAGTCCATTTTCAAGACTTGTCAGACGTGAACGAGAAAAAATAGAATTGATTTGAAATATATAACGTAAAGTTGAAGACGAAAAATTGAAAATAAAGGTGAGAAACAAAATTATAAAAGCCACAGTAGCCAAGAGAGAGAACAAAAAAGATAATTTCTTCTCTCTCGGCTACTGTGGTTCTTCTAGTTAGTTTGCCATTTTTAGTGAGCAACTTTGCGTTTTTTATTTCAAATCATTTTTATTTATTTCTACTCACGCCTGGCTAATCTTGAAAACAGGCGCCTATTTTTTGAGCTCTTGAAACATGTCGACTATTATTTCCTAGTTACATATTTTTAAGTCTTTACTCAGGTAAGATCTTACCGTTTATGTGTCTTTGGATTATTTATTTAATTTGTTTGTGGTTTGGTTTTATTATTTCTAAAACCCAACCATTTGATGCTTTATACATAACTATAAATCATAAATATACAAAGCTAATTTAAAAACCATCCCTTAAGCAGTGATGAAATTTAGCGATACGCATGAGGTAATATGTTATTAACTTTTATAAAGTAAGGCGTACCGTTTCCGCATTATTTGATTTATAAACTGTTCTTAAAAACATTGAAAAATATTTAATACGTCAAAATCACATAAAGTAAATTTTTTTTTTTTCAAAATTAATAGAAGCTTTTTTTTTGGGGGGGGGGACTTCTTGGAGAGAAACTCGTGATTATTTTCAATCATCGAATCGATTTCAATAAATCCAGATTAAGTTTACGATACGTTTGTTAGTACCTGTTTTGCAAACGAAAATATTTAAAGAAAAATATAGAAAATAAAATTTAAAAAAAATTTAAGTCTTGTATAAGTTTAAATCTTGTTGAAATTGTTTAAGAATATTATGAATTTTTAATTCTCGAACTAATACCCTTCGTGCATTTTTATATTAGTTTCTTTGCGGATATTATCTCGAAAATTGTTTAAGTTTACAAGCTCTTAAATGATTTGAGTTCAACAACGACAGTTTGTTCAAAAAAATGTTGCGAACCAAAGGTTTGAGTTGAAAAAATATTCAACATTGAAGTTTCTTTTTAAATCGTTTTAAGTAGCTTTATCATATAAAGCACTTAAAAAAAGGTTTTTTTTTTTTATTTATTTTGTTTTTCTGCCGATTACTTTTCAATGTGACGTCATGACTGAGCAAAATGTAAGCAAGCAATTAGACAACAGTGATGCAAGAAAAAGGGAACACAGAGCTTGATTTATAAATAACTATAAGTATATGTCTATGCAACGAAGTAAAAAAACTCATCCCACGCTTTTTACAGTTCCTTTCTACGAATCTGACTCAGTTTATCCTCAGTTTTTAGAGTGTTATGTATTTTTTACACTAGGTAAGATTTAGTTATGTATTTCAATTGTTTTCAGTAAAAATAATCGTTCGTTATGTCAATTGTTTAAGAGGAATACATTTCCCCCCGTTAATTTAGAATAATTTGTGTAATAAGTTTTGACTTTATCTTTTACAACCGATCCGGGCGGATGATCGAGTATCTCGGAGTGTGTTTCGTTTGAGATAACAGAATTCATTTGTCTTAGGGGAGTAAGCATAGGGGGATTTTAAATATACTTTTATTTATCTTTGTTTAATTATGGCTATTTATCTATAATTATATTAATATCTCCATATATCTCGATAGTATCTGTCAAAGCATGTGAAATACAAGGTTTATGAGGACAGCTTTTCGAATAAAAAATCCTTTTTCTTTAGAACTTCTTCTAATTTAATTCTGCAATCAATAATTTTTGAAAGGTAATGTAGCATTATTCATGCTACTATCTGCTTTCAAAGTTTTGATTAGTGAACAGCCAGCCTAATTTCTGGGTTTACGACTACTAATGTTCAACTACGTAACCTTCATTTTGAACCCAATCCAGAAGACAAGCGAACTCCTGGATCAAGTATTGGGAGAAATTTGCCTTCGTGGAGGATTTTTGAATGGAACTAGCCCACATTTGCGTTATACGGAGAGGAAATCCACGAAAACGTCCTACGGATAGCCTGACGACAAGGGGACTCTAACCCATGATCCGTCTACCACTGAGGATATTTTACGTCAGCAGTGTGGTCGGCGCAAGACGGATGAGGAATTCATGCCGACCAACTATCGCTGGGATTCGAACCCGGTTCACCTCATTGTAAAAAGCCGTTCCCAGTGAAGGCCCATTTGACATTAGAATCGTTATTGATGATATCATCCCTCCCTTGCTTTTCCTGATCTCAATAATGATCTGTCAGAATTTGAAAAAGTTTTTTTTCTCTCTAAATTATTAATTTGAGAGCCTTCATGTGTATTTTTTTTAAGGAATTCATTTTTCAAAGTGATTTAAAAATATATAATAAGGGTGGTTTATTAGAAAATTCTGTATTCATATTTTATGTTCTTATATTGAGTAGTGCTCATAGAATTGGATTTATTTTAGTGACATTTATCTATTGCACCATCTAGAGTACCGTATATTTGTCGTAGAATATATATTATTTATTATTTATGCAGATTAAATGGGATCAACGTTTCGTCACAAGCATCTTTATACATTCCACAAATTTTGGGGTAAGTTCCTTCGAAAATTCAAGTTAATCATCTTTTTCAAAGCATTATTGAAATATCCTGTTCAAAATTTTCCAATGCTGGCGTGAAAACCACAACTATATGTACTACACTGCCCTACAATAATGGAAGAGATGCTTTCAGTTTTTGACATTTTTTAAAATTTCTCAAAAAATATTATTAGATTATTTTGTAACTTTCAGAGATTTGAGGGACCGATAATAATTTACAAAAGAAAACAAGTATTTTTAAACACCCTATGCTAGATAATCAATCAATAAGCATGTAACTTATATAAAATACTTTGATTGTTACAATAGCAACAAAATTTTTTGTAAACTATTTAGCATAAATATTTATCGATATATGGACATTCTAAAAAAAAATTATTTTTTGTCTTACGTTATTTTGTATTACGTAACTTTAAAATTATTCAAAATTTTTGAAGCCATTTAAAATAAATAACAAAATTATAGTTAAAATTTAATATAAATTCGTAATTCGCTAAACCTGCGCCGGATATGAGTATTTAAAGTAGTTCTTTTATACTGCCCATGCGCGGAAAAAAAAGTTTAGAAAAATGTTTCATAATTTCGTAGTATTTGGCAACAAATGAAAAAAAAGTTTGATTTGAATGTCTTAAAAATTTAAAAAAGTTTTAAGTAATTTTTTAAGTAGCTTTTGTACTTTTTAAAAGAAAGCACAAAAGTCTTAGTTCTTTTTTTCTTCACAAATTTAATTTTCTAGTCTCGGCTGTTATTGCCGGCAGAAATTTTAATAAATCTTGTTTCATAATACAAAATAAAATTTTTAAAACTCATCATTTTAATTTTCTTTTAAAAAAGTATTTTATAATTAGACATTTAAATCAGACTTTTTTCATTAATTGTCAACTATTCGCTACAAAATTATATAAAAAATTAAAAAAATATTTAAATAATTTTCTGTGCATGAGCAGTACTAAAGAACCTATTTATATATTAAGCAGTTTTAAACGAAATTTTTTCAAATTTTAAATCAATAATTTTAAATGGCTATAAAAAGAGTGTCTCACCCATTATTGCAGGGTAGTGTATGAGTAAAGGGTAGAGACAAGTGTGTGAATTGAGTTTCAATTAAGAGCAGTGCGGATTAAATTAATATAATGTACACTTTTTAATTTTCTGAAAATATTATGATATAATAATTCCAGAAAATATTATGTAAATTACATATTCAGTGTAATATGTTCTATCGGAATTCACTTCTGTACAATGCACTTTAAAAGAGTTTCAGAAACATCTTTTGGAATGTTCTTTAATTCTGTCGTTCTTATATTGTCTTCCTCGTTCCCTATCAAATTTTTCAGTTTCGGTAACAAAAATTATTGTTCGAAGATTATGACGAAAAATTCAATCTAGACAACCTGCAAAACTTAAAAAATGTGCTATGGTAACATTAAGAACATTAGAATGGAAGAGCGTTTCGAGAAAGGACTTCAGAAACTTATAAAACCTGCTCCAAATTTTTATACCTTTTGAAAAGTAAAAAATCGTTTGACAGTCGACTTTCTGAACATTCCAGTTCATAGTTTCTGCGTGATGTCATAATTCTTTATTTAATAATTCTTTTAAAAATATTTTAAACAGTTCTATCATAAAAACAAACCACAATTAAAAAAAGGTTCTTAAAGAATAATAAAATAGAAATCAATTTTTTAGAGACTTAGAGAACATTCTTACTGAATCTAGTTTGATCATTCTGCTTTAAATGCCTCAATCAAATATTCAACTACTAAATGTATATTTCATATGAATTTTTATTTAAATGAAAAAGTTCCAATCAAAATATTTTGTGCAAAAATGAAAAATTTGTTTTAAAACATTATAATTCGTAAAATCATTACCATAAAAAGAGAAAGATAAATTATCTCAACTCTTTTTCCTAACAATAAAACCGAGTGAATTTTTTTGGCTGTTTTCGAACGGTAGTGTCAGAATATTTTGGAGTGGGCTCCAATAACTCCAAGTGAGGGAAACATAATAATCATAGTCCATTCACATACTATACATTCAGAAGTTATGAGATCGATGCCGGAAACAAATTGTTACACTTTTTAGAACTGATAGGGTGTATAAAATTCCAATTAATAACTTAAGAAATCTTCTGAAAATGTGTCCAAATTTATACATTTTTTGTACATAAATAGTTTTATTTCTTACTCCTTCAATTGCAAATATACAACTGAAGCTTTAATTTCATATCATAGTTTTCTAGAGTGAGACTTAAAAAAGATCCATTTTCATTCCAGATGTGAACGGTGATGGTGTATTAACATGGGATGATTTTCGCCAATTAGCTGAAGTGAGTGAGAATTTTAACACTTTTCCTTAAATATATTTTTGTATATTTAATTAATTCTTAAACTTTTATTCTTTAACTATTCTTTTTAAAACAAATACCTCTGTCATTTTCGTTTGGCAAAATATTTCATTACGTAATTGCAATTCAAACCATTTCTTCTGTTCATTAAGGATTAAGAAAAAGCAATATTGGTAAACCGTGGCAATTTTATGGCAACCTGTTCCTTTTTTCCTCCTTTCTATTCCTTTTATTGTACTTTTCCCTCCAAGAAAAAAGAACGAGCTTATAAAAGGAAAATCTCGAGCGATAAATACATTTTCTTATTTCTCTTTGCAACAAGGAATATTTGGTAAATTTTAAAGCAAAATATGAAGTAAAAAATCTGCTAAAAAAACATTTAAAATTTCAATAACTTTCAATCAAAATGAAATTTTAAAGAAAACTACGGGTTAAGTTCATAAATTTAAATAGCTTTTTCAACTGACTAAATTTCAACTCAGTATTTGGACTTTTCTGGGATGCGGATCGTCTTCACGGCATTTTTTTGCTACAAATTTAAAAGTTAATAACTCTTGGACTAATAATCTGTAGTTTCATTTCTGTGGGCTACTGAGATATCATATCTACGTAACGCTTTTTACTGCAAGGTTAGCAGTTAATAATTCTTGAACTAATAATCGAACGTTAAAATATTTAATCGAATCATACTACTATCTGTGCATTTTTCTGTATATTTTCTGTACGTTAATGAGAAATATGATATAATGAGAAAATACAAAATAATTGATTCCGTTTTGTAAGTCACACAAATAAAGTAATGTTTCCAAATATTTCAGAAATATACTAAAATTCAAAGGAGGGGAAAATTAGATCAAGATGTCTACAAGAGGTGGGAATCTATTCTGAGCAAATGGTGGGATGAATTGACTCAGCATGCTGATTTTAATAAAGTAAGTATCACTCATTTTAAAAATATTTATAACACTTTCTAAAGAAAGAAAGAATATATATATATA